AAAAATTAGTGTGATTGAACAAGTAAATGTTGGACTACAAAAAGAAATAGAAACCAACAGAAAAAAAATTAAAATCCATAGTATCAACCATTGTATTTTGTGGAACTCATGACATTGCTTTGCGAGGGAAAAAAACAGATTCAGGTAATTTTCATGATCTTCTACATTTTCGTGTTGATTCAGGCGATGAGATGTTAAAAAATCATTTTTTAAGCTGTGCAGGAAATGCTAAATATTCATCTCATAGAACACAAAATGAACTAATAACATTGTGTAGTAAAATATTAAAAGAAAACATAGTGTGTGAAGCCAATGCCGCAAATGCGTTTTCTATCATTGCCGACGAAACAGCAGATATTTCTGGTGTTGAGCAATTGACAATTGTAATTAGATTTTTAGACAAACAGTCAAATCCTTTTAAAATACGAGAAGAATTTCTAGGCTTCTTACCCTTAAATAAATTAGATTCAGAATCGGTTGCTACTCAAATATTATCATTTATGGTGAATTGTGGTCTTGATTTAACTAAACTTTGTGGACAAGGTTATGATGGCTGTGCTACAATGGCTGGAAAAGAAAGTGGTGTTGCTAGACTAGTTAGGGATAGATATGCCAAAGCTTTATTTTTTCATTGTGCTAGCCATCGATTAAATTTAGTTATTAATGACTTAAACAAAATTATGGTTATTCGTAATACTACAGGCACAATTAAAGAAATTATTAAATTTTATCGTGAAAGTACACTTCGAAGAAAACTAATACCTAACATACCACTATTTTGTGAAACACGTTGGTCTTCAAAGTATAAAAGTATTAGAGTACTTTCTGAAAATTTTATTACAATAATTCAAAGTCTCCAATCTTTATCCATAAATGATATGACAAATGCTAATACAAGACAAGGTGCTTTTTATTTATATTCCTCAGCCTCAAATTTTTTTATTTATAATAACAATGACTATAATTGCAAAATACAGCGCTATCTTGGAACCTGTTACTAATATTTTACAAGGTGAATCAATAGAACTTTATAAAGTTCGGGAACATATGGAGACATTATTGGAAATGTTTGAAAGTGATAGAATAAATGCAATTGAGAGCTTTAATTTATTATTTATTAACGCTAAATCTATAGCAAATTATTTAGATCTTATTATTACTTGTCCCAGAATTACCGGAAAACAGTTACATAGAAACAACTATCCAAGTGAAACTTCCGAAGACTATTTATAGAGTATCAGTTTTTGTACCATATCTCGAATCAATAATACAATCTATCAAGGAAAGATTGGAAAAAGGTAATAGTGTTGCTTTTTCATTACAATACCTTCATCCAGCATTATTTAAAAAAATGAAAAAGAAGAGTACGTTGAAATTTTAACAATCATTCATAGTTTTTATAAAATTGAAAATTTTTTAGTTGAAAGTGAAAGTTGGTATGTTTATTGGCAAAAAAAAGATTTTCAAAGTATGGACATTATAGATTTACTAAAACATAGTGAAATATTTTTCCCCGGTATTACAATTGCATTAGAAATTTTCCTATCTTTACCAGCTACAAGCTGCACTGCAGAACGTACTTTTAGTACATTACGAAGAGTAAAAACTTGGCTTCGATCCACGACAAGTGAAGACCGATTAAATGGTTTATGTATGTTAAGTGTACATCGTGAAAAAGTTAAGGCAAGCAAAAATCAATTCATTGACAGTTAATAACAAGATTTGCAACAAAACAACCGCGAAGACTTCAATTTTTATTTAGTAATGACTAATGAATATATATATATATACATATTTATTTATTTATTAATAAATACTTTATTTAATTTTACTTTTTGGTATTTAATTTTTTTTGGCCCCCCCCTGATAAATAATCATGTTTAAAAAATAATAAACATAATTATCGTACTTTTGTTTACTATAAAGCTCTAAATTATTATTTATGACTGCAACAGTCATAAATAGAAGTTAGAGTAATATTGTATGCTTGCGTTTCTTGTGTTTTTTCTATAACGGACTTTGCCCTGCATCTTCATCTAAGACGTCAACTAATAAAACGTTTAACAGTCTGTCCAACTTTACAGCTTTAAAAATAAATTAAACTTCATTAAGAGTTGGTGATTAAGATAATTTTGTTATTATTTTACATGTTCGCGTCCTAATGGATTATATTTCAAATAATTCATTTAAATCCATTAATAAATGCGTACCATTTTGTTATATTAATAATATTTTTGATTAAAATTAATAATATCTACCTGAGATATAATGAGTAGATGTAAATCTGTTATTAATAATTATTTTATCTACTGTAACAAAAATAAGACATCAATGTGTAAAGACTACTCTAAAGTGTATCGAGTAAGTTTATTTCTAGATGTATTTCATAATAAGAGTATGAAAGTAAATAATAATATAATAAAAGATAGAGTTATCGAAGTAAAATAAATATGTATCAAATTTATTATTATTCTATAAAATAAATGTTATGGATAATTTATTTAAAATTAATTCTGAAATGTCTGTTTATAGCTGATTATTTTTGATCATTGATAGTCAAGTTAAGTTTTAATCATTATAAGATTTTACTTGTTTTACAATTTGACTTTTAAATATTTTAGTTGGATGTGCCCGAGACTTTGTGATAGACAAATTTATACATTATAACATTATCATGTCAAGTGGAAGTTTAGGCTAAGGGTGGCCGACCTTAAGTAGTTGGGATTAAGGAAAAGGAAGAAAATAAGATTTGGATGTATTTTTATTTTATAAATTTAAAATAGTTGCAAACAGGGAGTTTAAATGCAATGACTTTGTTTTATAAATATTAACATAAGTCAATTTATCAGTTTTCCCAGATTATATTTGGTAATTTAATAATTTATATAAAAAATGTTAGTAATATTTACATAAACTTCATGGAGCAATTGAAAATGAACAATTACAATAACGAACTTACAACTAAAAATTGATAATTAATTTTACAAATCAGCTAAATAATGGCAAAAATGCAAAATTTACAAAGAGTGATATAAATTAGTACTATTTATAATATGCATTAAACGTAAACGTATTTATGCAGAGGAAAATTGAATAAGTACAGAACAAGGTTTTGATCCAATTCTTTTAATCTCGATTGAAAAATTGTTTAACATATCGGTAAATAGAGTTTCTAAATTGTTAGTGTTTTCATTTACACAATCGGGAACGTTGTATAAAATTATTTACATGAATCATTCTATCTTGGATTTCACTGATAATGTCGGCATTTTTACTAAGATTCGAAGAAGACTACTGTGATTCTAGAAATAATACTTTATATTTAAAATTTACATAGTCGGACAATAGTTTTTCATTATTACTCTTAAGTATATTGAGCTCTATAGATAAATTTTTAATGGAAGACTTTAAACTATTAAAAGTTTTTGGAAAACCAGTAAGTTACATTTTAAGATCACACAAGTGATATATAAGAATTAACGCTTCATTGAATGACAAGAAATGTATTCAGTTATTCTAACTTCTTATTTATTATAAGATGAAAAGGTTTCTTAACAAGATGTGTATCCAGTCTATTATTATTGTTTTGGATAGCAGTTATGTTTAATGATTCATTTGTGAAATTAGTTAACGTCATTATTATCAGTCAATATATCTTATAGTTAATAGCCTTTTTAATAAATGAGTAGTAAAACAATATTTTAAAATTTTGTTAAATATTATTTATTTCTCGATTTATAATTGATTAAAGATTATTAGATCTATCCTTTATTTTAGCTTCGATGCGAAGCTGAGAAGGTATTGGTTTGACTAAGATGTGTTTTTTTTTTTTTTTTTGTCTGTTACCACTTTTTCTCAGCTCTCACCGAACCGATTTCTTTCAATGATACGTCAAAAGATCACAAATCATATCTAGTCGAAGACATTACCCTCAAAAATTGAAAAAAATTCCCTCGTTCCCCGTAAATGGGGGAAATCTCCAAAAAAATTACAAATTTAAAAATCGTTAATTTTCAAAATTTTTTCAATTTTTTTTACTTAAAATTGCTATAACTTTTTCAAAAATGAACATATCAATATAATTTTTTTTTATATAGATGCATGATATCATTACCTTTCATTTGGTATATTTTTTTTTTATATGTGACCCTTTATCTGCCCACAGGATTTAAAAGGACAACTTTTTCACAAAAAATTAATTTTTTCAACTTAACTTTTGAAAATGTTCCAGAAGGTCTGACACTTTTATATATATATTAAATTAAAGCTTATGTATTATACTTTAATTTAAAAAAAAAAAGTTGACCTCTGGACTTGTCTTCACGGCGAAAATGCCTACCAAATGCTATTTTCGTGTGAAAATTCTCGATTTTATTTTTTATATTTTTAACTTTATAATGCTATGACATATTGAAAAGTGTATGGATCAACATTATTTTTTTATGAGAAATAATATTTTTTAATAATCCCTTTTTCATTCGACATACTTTATCTTAATCAGGATATTAATAAGGAACTAGCAGTTTATGAAGCTTTTGGAATAATCCACCAATTTTTTAAAATTAAACACTATCTAAAGATTTGCATCGAAGCGNGCAGATTATGTAGCTTATGGAATAATCCATCAATTTTTTAAAATTAAACACTATCTAAAGATTTGCATCGAAGCGTTTTCTTTTTATAGTGATTTTAATCACTGTCAGATATTATTATACTTGATCCAACAATGCCACATCACCACTGTGCCGCGACCCCCCTGTACTGGGTTGTTTTTAATATCAATATACCCATACAAAATATTTATAATTAGTAAAAAAGAGGGCATTATAACAGTAAATTTAATGACATCAAAAATCATAATTTGGGCTTTACCTAAAATTGCAATTTTAATTTTTCAATTACATGAAAAATAAAAACTGTATTTTAACTGTCTCTTATTTTAACCTAATATAGATAAAATTAAACATATCGAAAATTGATTAAAAACTGTCCTTATTTAGCAATTCAAAATTTGGATGACAAACGAATGTGCCAATTTGAAAAAGGTACGACGAGAAAAGCTGCTGAAAATGGAAACTTAGAACTTTTAAAATATGCATATGAAAATGAATGTAAATGGGATGAAGATACGACTATTGTAGCTGCGGCAAAAGGTAATTTGGAATGTTTACAATACGCTCATGAAAATGGATGTGAATGGAACGAAGATACAACAAGAGCTGCTGCTGCTAATGGACATTTAAAATGTTTAAAATATGCTCACGAAAATAAATGTCCGTGGGATGAAAGTACAACAGAAGCAGCTGCAAATTATGGTAGTTTAGAATGCTTAAAATACGCGTATGAAAATGGCTGCAAGTGGAATATAATCGATATTGCAAACAATGCAATTTTAAAGGATAATCTAGAAATATTAAAATATATTCACGAAAATGGATATAAATTGAATATACTCACAACTAATACGGCTGCCGTGAGAGGTAATCTAGAAATTTTAAAATATTTACACGAAAATAAATGTCCGTGGGATGAAAGTACAGCGCAAATAGCTACTTATAATGGTTATTTTAAATTCTTAAAATATGCTCATGAAAATGGTTGTAAATGGGATGAAGATACAACTACTGTGGCTGCGAAAAGAGGTAAATTAAAAATTTTAAAGTATGCACATAAAAATGGATGTCCGTGGGATGAAAACTTAACAAAAGAAGCTGCTTCTAATGGTAAATTAAAATGCTTAAAATTGTTTCGTCTTCTCTTAGTGACGATATTAGAACAATGTTAAAAACAAAAATTATATAATATTAATTGACATATAATACATGTGTTTTATATGTGAGTTTATTTTACACATGAAAGTGGTACAGGTTAGTTGTGACAAATCAGTTAGATAACACTACGTGATAACACAACATCTCCTTCCTTAAGATTATGATAATATAAAGAGTAACAGACAATTAAAATATAGCATATTCAAATACAAATATATATATATATAAAATAATAAAATACATTTCATAATACAAATTCTGTAACAATTTTATAGATTACAATAACATAACTTTAAGTAGTTCTCTCAATAAACTTTTTCAAATGAAATGAATTTCTCCTATATACTACACCATTTATGTTTACTAGAAATGATCTTGGAGTTTTTAACAATCCTACAATTACTCCTCTTACCCATTCAGATCTTTTTATATCTCTAACCAGCACTTTTTCTCCTACTTTAAATTTTTTCCTAATCTTTGTTCTTTCATCATAATACTCCTTTTCTTTAATTTTTTTAATCTTTAATTCATATTTTGCATTTATTACCTTTGGTTTTAGTAATACCTCTTTTACTGGGAGTTTTGTATTTAGTAATCTAGACATTAAAAATTGTGACGGCGAGTACTTACAACCTGACACCGGTGAGTTTCTATAATAAAGTAGAAATAATTGTAAATCTTTTTTCTCCACCTCTGATTTTTTAATTAATTTTTTGGCAATGCCTACAAATTTTTCAGCTAAACCATTACTACGGGGATAATATGGACTAGATGTTGTTATTTTAAATTTATACTCCTGACTAAATACTCTAAATTCATAGCTATCGAACGGCATATTATCTGCTATTACTTCTGATGGTATGCCAAATCTTGTAAAAATTTCTTTACAACATTTTATTAATGTTGAACTATTAGCACTTTTAATGGGTATTATTTCCAACCATTTAGAATAATAGTCCACAAGAATAAAATATTTTTTCNTGTTTCGTCTTCTCTTAGTGACGATATTAGAACAATGTTAAAAACAAAAATTATATAATATTAATTGACATATAATACATGTGTTTTATATGTGAGTTTATTTTACACATGAAAGTGGTACAGGTTAGTTGTGACAAATCAGTTAGATAACACTACGTGATAACACAACATCTCCTTCCTTAAGATTATGATAATATAAAGAGTAACAGACAATTAAAATATAGCATATTCAAATACAAATATATATATATATAAAATAATAAAATACATTTCATAATACAAATTCTGTAACAATTTTATAGATTACAATAACATAACTTTAAGTAGTTCTCTCAATAAACTTTTTCAAATGAAATGAATTTCTCCTATATACTACACCATTTATGTTTACTAGAAATGATCTTGGAGTTTTTAACAATCCTACAATTACTCCTCTTACCCATTCAGATCTTTTTATATCTCTAACCAGCACTTTTTCTCCTACTTTAAATTTTTTCCTAATCTTTGTTCTTTCATCATAATACTCCTTTTCTTTAATTTTTTTAATCTTTAATTCATATTTTGCATTTATTACCTTTGGTTTTAGTAATACCTCTTTTACTGGGAGTTTTGTATTTAGTAATCTAGACATTAAAAATTGTGACGGCGAGTACTTACAACCTGACACCGGTGAGTTTCTATAATAAAGTAGAAATAATTGTAAATCTTTTTTCTCCACCTCTGATTTTTTAATTAATTTTTTGGCAATGCCTACAAATTTTTCAGCTAAACCATTACTACGGGGATAATATGGACTAGATGTTGTTATTTTAAATTTATACTCCTGACTAAATACTCTAAATTCATAGCTATCGAACGGCATATTATCTGCTATTACTTCTGATGGTATGCCAAATCTTGTAAAAATTTCTTTACAACATTTTATTAATGTTGAACTATTAGCACTTTTAATGGGTATTATTTCCAACCATTTAGAATAATAGTCCACAAGAATAAAATATTTTTTCCCAGACCATTCTGCTATATCCACCCCTAATTTTACAAATGGTATATTTGGGACATTATGTTGTATCAATGGCTCTTTACTATTATTAGTAGAAAATTTTTGACAAATGCTACAACTTAAAACAAAGTTTTCTATATCAGAATTAATACCTGGCCAATAACAATGCTGCCTTGCTTTTAATTTGGTTTTATTTACTCCTAAATGAGTCTCATGANAAAGTATGCTCATGAAAATGGATGTCCATGGGATGAAAATACGACTTATATGGCCTCCATGAAAGGTAATCTAAACATTTTAAAATATTTACATCAAAATGGATGTCCATGGGATGAAAACACAACAGAAATAGCGGCTTTTGTAGGTAATTTACAATGCTTAAAATATGCACATGAAAATGGATGTCCATGGAATGAACATACAACTATTCAAGCTGCCGCAAGAGGTAATTTAAACATTTTAAAATATTTACATAAAAATAAATGTCCATGGAATGAACGTACAACAAAAGCAGCTGTGAAATATGGCAGTTTAGAATGCTTAAAATATGCTTATATAAATGGCTGTAAATGGAATCAATTCGATGTCGTAAGAAGTGCTATTTTAAGGGGCAATCTAGAAATTTTAAAATTTGTTCATGAAAATGGATGTATGTTTGGTGAAGGCTCAACTCAAGCTGCTGCTGCAAGTGGTTATATTGATTGTTTAAAATATTTACATAAAAATGGTTGCCAATGGGATGAAGGTACAACGAAAGCTGCTGCAACAAGTGGTTGTATTGACTGTTTAAAATATGTACATAAAAATGGTTGCCAATGGGATGAAGGCACAACTCAAGCTGCTGCAGCAAGTGGTTGTATCGAATGTTTAATGTATGCCCACGAAAATGGATGTATTTGGGATGTGGGTACGACTAGAGCTGCTGCAACAAGTGGTTGTATCAAATGTTTAATGTACGCCCACGAAAATGGATGTATTTGGGATGTGGGTACGACTAGAGCTGCTGCAGAAAGTGGTTGTACCGAATGTTTAATGTACGCCCACAAAAATGGATGTATTTGGGATGTGGGTACGACTAGAGCTGCTGCATCTAGTGGTTGTTTAGACTGCTTGATATATGCTCATACAAAGAAATGTAATTGGGATGATGATACAATAGTTACAGCAGCTGTTCATGGTAATTTAGATTGCCTAATGTATGCCCGTAAACATGGATGTGATTGGGTTGAAGGGATTATGAGAGGGGCGGCAGCAAATGGACATTTACATTGCTTAATATATGCCTATGAAAATGGGTGTCCGTGGGACGAAGGCACAATAAGGGAAGCTGTAGCGTGTAATAATTCTTTTTGTTTGATATTTGCACATGAAAATGGATGTAATTGGGATGAAGGAACAAAGAGTGCAGCTGCTGCGAATGGCTATTTATACTGCCTAATATATGCCCATGAAAATGGATGTCTGTGGGACGAAGGCACAACAAGACTTGCTGCTGAAAATGGTCAATTTCGTAGCTTAAAATATGCTCATGAAAATAATTGTCCATGGAGTAGTGGTACTATTTATGAAGCTACTCTAAAGGGCTATACTAATATAATCAACTATGCTACTAAAAATGGCTGTTCTAATTAATTTTCTATTGTGATGTCATTATTTGTATTATATAATATATAATATAAAAGTGAATGTGTCAAACGTTCTATGTACCAAAAAAGTGAAAAATTGTTTTATTTCTGATTTATGTTCTATGTGCCAAAAGCCACAATCTTGTATGTGTTTCAAATGTCAATTAAAATTTTTACTTGTACAAAATTGCATTCATAGATGGTGTTCGATATGTGAGACATGCCCATGTTATCATTGTTTTTTGTGTTTTCTGAACAAATATGTTTTTGGCGCATAGAACGTTTGACACATTCACTCTTCATATAATTATATTAGCTATTAACAATATTTTTAAATTAAATTAACTAAAGCTTTAATGGGCGTCTATTAGCTCTCATCGAACCGATTTCTTTCAACGATACGTCAAAAGATCACAAATCGCATCTAATCGAAGACATTACCCTCAAAAATTGAAAAAATTTCCATTGTTCCAAAAAAATTACAAATTTAAAAATCGCTAATTTTCGAAATTTTTTCAATTTTTTTTTACTTAAAACTGCCATAACTTTTTCAAAAATGACAAAATAAATATAATTTTTTTTTTATAGATGCATAATGTCTTTACCTATTATTTGATATATTTTTTTTATAAAGTTAACCCTTTACCTCTCTACAGGAGGGGATTCAAAATGACAACTTTTTCACAAGAAATTAACTTTTTCAACTTAAATTTTGAAAGTGTTCCGGAAATACTGACATTTTTATATATACTTAATTATCGAAAAAAAAAGTTTTGGACTTTATTTTATCTTCACGGTGAAAATACCTATTTTTGTATTAAAATTTTCGATTTTTTATTTTATTTTATTTTAAAATACCATACAAAAGTTTTTAAATTATTTGATTTTTATCTCATTTAGATTCAATAACTTTAATAAATATCAAATAACCAACTTTTTTTAATAATACATCAAATGATCACAACTAATACACTGAATTGAGTAAATTTTAGCTTCAATGCGAAGCTGAGAATACATTATTTTTACCATGTTTTTTTTTTTGTATCTGTTGCCACTTTTTCTGAGCTCTTATTGGATCTATTTTGATGAACAATATTTCATAAGATCACAAATCGTATTTGGTCAAAGATATTACCATTAAAAATTGAAAAAATTTCCCTCGTTTCCCATAAACGGGTGAAATTTCCAAAAAATTACAATTTTTAAAGTCAGTAAATTTCGTAATTTTATTCACTTTTTTTTTAAACTACCATAAATTTTTCAAAAATTAACAAATCAACTTAATTTTTTTTTATATTGAAACCTTAGATATATTCCTTTCATTTTATATAATTTTTTTGAAAATCTAACATTTAACCTGCTCACAGGGGGGATTTAAAATAGCAACTTTTTTACAAAAACTAACTTTTTCAACTTAATTTTTAAAATTGTTCCGGAAATACTGCGTCCTTTAAAGATATATCAAATATATATATAGCTTATTTTATGTACTATAAAATGAAAAAAAAAAATTTGTCATGTCGACTGTGTAAATAGTTGCCGTAGATAAAAACATGCTATTTTTGTGTTAAAATTTTTGATTTTCGATTTTATATTTTCAAGTTTAAATAAACTTTTAGAAAAATGTATGTATCAACACAAATTATTTTTTTTGTAAATACATTATATATACTTCGTTCATTTAACATATTTTTAATTTAAATTGGACAATTTCCCTTTATACAGGGGACGTTCAATAGTTGAAAAGTATTAAAAATAGAACTTTTTCAACTTAACTTTTGAAAATGTTCCAGATATACTGCGTCCTTTAAACATGTGTCAAATTAAAGTTTACAATAAATACTATAAATTCAAAATAAAAATTTTCCTTTTCTTCTATAGGAAAATTGCCGTCGAATTTAAGGAAAAATGTAATATTTATGTAAAAATCACTCTTTAACATGAAATATTTTATTATTTAAAACTGCCATAACTTTTTGAAAAATTAATAAATTAAAATTATTTTTTTATATTGAATCCTTAGATATTTTTCTTTCATTTAATAAAATTTTTTTTAAAATCTAACTCTAAACCAGACCGCAGGGAGAATTAAAAAAAACAATTTTTACACACAAGTTAAGCATTTTCAATGTAATTTTTGGAAAATGTTCCGGAAATATTAACACTTTTATTTAATCTTAAATTAAAGCTTATATTATATACTTTACTATTAAAAAGAAAAATTAGAAATAAAGATTTTCATCTTGGTGTAAATGGCTTCCGTATTCAAAAATTTGCTATTTTTGTGTTAAAATTCTGTGTTTAGTATTTTATTTTTAAATATTTTTTAAGAGGAATACATTGACTTTCATGAATATTATATAATGTAATTGACATAGAATAAAGTTCATAAGATATAAGAAGTTAAATTTATTTAAATTTTTTACTTTTTTAATGTCAAAGTGAATAAATTGCATTTTTATGAGTTACGCAAAAATTTTCAAATCATTTAATTTTTATCTCAATTAGATTCAATAACTTCAATATATATCAAGAATCCCATCACTGTAGTCTCCCCTCGCGAGAAGAAATTTCATATTCATGTTAATATTATTTTACTAAGTGTTTTTTTTTTTTTTTGTGGTTGCGATTTATTTTTCCAACGCCACTAGACCTACTTTTTTCAAAGATATGTCAAATGATTTTAATTCGTATTTAGTTGAAGATATTACCCTCAAAAATTGAAAAAATATATCCCTTAATCAAATAAAAAGTAGCTTAACCAGCTTTATCCATACAAACAATTAAAATTATTCATTTCTAATATTTTTAAAGTATTTATTGTCGAATTAAATTTAATATAATAAAAGTATTCAACTACAAAAGTAAATAATTTTACTTTGTAATTTATTAATTTTTAAACTCTATTTGTGTAGCTACTACCAGTCTATAACATTCCAAATTTTTTTGTAACATGTTGCTGTATAAATCATAAATCTAAAAAAATAAATGATTTTTAGTTTCACCTGAATTTAACAATGAATTTTTATAATTATAATCAAATTTTATTATACGCCCACTATTGAGTAGATTTTTTTAATAACTTCTTGATTAGCTTTTTTAGTTTAAGTAAATCATTAAAATTAATTCAATTTTACATATTTCAATTGTAGAATCTTTTTAAACACCAAAAGTTAATTAAAAATTATTACTATGATTTTAATTAAAGTAATCTATTACAGTAAAAATGCAAAAAATAATCGTGTTTTTCTGATAAATTTATTGTAAATAGTGATTATAAAATTTCCTGAATTTATATTAATCTTAACAATAACATTTTTTCTAATTAATGATGTCAATTTCAAACTTGCAAGTTGAGCTAAAACTTATGGTTATAAGTTCATTTTTTTTTTATTATAAACTTTCATTTTAAATAACAGAAATAAGTAGGTTAAAAATGATTACTTTTAACATATTAAAAATCAAAATCAATTATAGTTTGAAAACAATTAATTATAAAAATTATATATTATATTTTTGAATTTAAGAATTACTAATCTGGATATAATTAAGTAAGGAAATAGAAGTTAATGTTGCTTTTATAATTATCCACCAATTTCTTAGAATTAAACACTATCTACATATTTGAATCGAAGCGTTTCTTATGATAGTGATTTTAATCACTGTCAGATTAAATCTATACTGGACCCAACTATGCCACGTCACCATTGTGCCGCAACCACACTGTGCTGGGTTTTTTAATTATAAAATTTCAAAAAAATCAACTTTAAAATACCAAAAAAATAGGTTAAAAATGATATTTTGCAGTGATTATTTTCAACATATTAAAAATCAAAATCTGTAATAATTTAAAAACATTTTTTTGTTTTTAATTATTTTTTTATCGTAATAATTCATTTCAAAAGAAATATTAAGAATTTCTATGTAATTCTTGATGTTTAAATAGATGATACATCTATTTAATTATTATGAATTATTCAGAACTATTTTCCTTATAGTTATATTCTATAGTTTTTAACTAATTAGTAATAATAAAAAAAATTATTGGCGATGGAAAACATATAATTACTGATTTGAAATGAGCACGAAAAATTGAATAATAAAAGTATATTTTTGTCTGTGATAAAAATTTCTTGCAGACCATTTATTTATAAAATTAATAACAAATTATAATCTAAAAAGTGTCAAGCCCTTCAATTTTTATATATGTTTGCCATAAAAGTAATAACTACTTTATATTTTTTTATAAATACTCTGAAAAAATTACAATACTAAATTATTAACACATTGACGGACATGCCTGCTATAGCAGTCACGCTCTTGTTTGTAATTACAGATTCACTTAAATATCTCATTAATAATTGTTTAGAATAAAAAATGCGTCAGAGCTTTTTTCTTTATAAATATGATACAATAACTATGAAAACAAAAAAAAGTGTAACCGCTATAGCAGTTGTAGTCCACTCGTGACTTTTTTCTACTCGTATAACCATATGACTGCTATAATAGTTACGTTAATAAATTTATATTTTTGTGTTAAAATTTATTATTAATACATTTTATAAAATTCGTAATTATGTATAAATGAATATAATAACTCGCACATTTCAGACAAATCCTTTTTATTTATTTATACTATATTGATATATTTATATCAACATGATAATTATTATAAAATATCTTTTTTATTATAACACAAAAAAAAATGCATTTGATACATACAATTTTTAAATAGTTAAAATTATTTATTTACATGATAATTTGAAAATCAGGGTCCTGGGCATCCTGGGCACAATGGTAGATTTGATGAACAATCTTTGCACCTCTAAGACGTAATTTTTCTAATTTTTTTCTTGTAAGACTCCCGACAACTCAAAAAGTATGTTTTCCTTGATCAGCCTTGAGTAAAATAAAAAAAAAATATTTATCTTACTCTTTGGTAATGGTATCTTCTCTTGAGAGTGACCTTGAATTTTCAAATTATTTCTGCTTTTTCCTTTATTCTTGTTGACGTCCATTTGTTATGTGAGTGGTAAGTGAATAAGTTTTCTGACAACTTCACGATGAAAATCAATAAAATGTCCTGTATACTGAGGAATTTTTTTTTTGTAAATGTAGAATGAATTCCACGAAGACATCAAGAAGATGAAATAGTACTTTCTTGTACCACTTGATGGTTATTCTAGGACTTGAATAATATGACAGCATTTGGTCACAACGATCTATACCAGACATATTTGAGTTGTACTCGATTATTTGTTTTGGTTTTTGAATATTTATCCAACGTTTATTTTGCACAGTGGTCATCAAAGGATGGTATCTAGTAGTAATGCTAAAAACATCCCTTTTGTCTTTCCATCTACTGACATAAATCGATCCCTTTCTAGAAAACTTGTGGCCTCCTTTCTTTAGTCTCCTAAAGTTTAACATCTTTACCTGTGATTTGAGTAGGATTTAATTTTCTATTTGATCTTAAAGTACCGGTTGTATGAGTTTTATTTTCAAGTAATATTTTCGACAAACCAATACTATTATAAAAATTGTCCATAAAAAGATGGTGGCCTTTATTTAAATATGGTCTCATAACTAAATCATTTACTTTTGATGATGAAGTATCTTCGATATTTTTCCCTTTATATATTTTTGCTGAAATTACGTATCCATTGGTGGTATAAAGTTCATAAAATTTTATTACGTACTTATGTTTTTTGTTTTTTATATACTGAAGAAATATTGAGCGGCCTCTCCAGAGCATCATTGACTCATCAAGTGACAAATTTACTGGCGGAGAGTAGGAGGACTGAAATTTTCATATAAGCATATTGAAAAGTGGAGATATTTTTACTAAACTATCATTTATTTCAACTGGAATACCTTCAGAACAATGTAAAACTCTTAAAAATTGTTCAAACCTTCTTCCACTCATTGTAAATGAAAATATGGGGTGATAGCTCAATGGATCCGTTCCAAAACATTGCCTAAGTACAGGTATACCAAGTTCCACTCTCAACAAACACAAACCAAAAAATTTTTGCAACTCAATCGTGGAAATTTCTTTATAATTTTGTACACGACCATTTTTAGTATGAGGGCGATTTAAATTAAGTTGTTTTTTTCCATATTTGTTTGATGAATTTAAAATAAGTTGCATTACCTCTTCATTCCAAATCTTCATAAAAACATCATATGGGGTAGCTTCATCAAAAATATCTAATTGTACACCAGCACTTTGTTCATCATAATTGAAATCTTCTATTTCATTTATATCGTCTTCCCAATCACTCACTGTCTACCTCTTCGTATACAGTGGACAAATTATCACATATGTTTGCATTGTATTCTTCCTAATAATCATCACTACTAGTAAAGTTTAATCCATCATCAGAAGAATCATCTTTGTCTAAAGTGTAAGTCGGATCATCACCTGAACCGATCGATTCTTCAAATGAATCTAAAATATAAAATATTTTTTTATGAAAAGGATGGTAATCTATCGTTGGTATGTATTTGAATTTTTATACTTTATTTTTTTATAATTATCTGGATCAGAATAATAATAAAATAATAATAATAATACCTGATTCAGATAAATCAGAGTAATCGCTGTTTGATTCGTCTAAAATCTGACGAATATCTTCATCACTATTATTGCTTCGTTTATTCATAATGAGAGAAAAATAAGAATAATATAGTACAAAACAAATATGTCATATCACGACTAAATCGAAAGACATAGTAATACGATTTGTATAAGTATGTATAATAATATACACATTACTAGTGACACCATCACAATTGTATTATGAATAATAAAGAAATACAAAAAAAAACTCACATTATTTTTCAATAATCTATTTTTAGAATACATCCAATACTTTGCCTGACAATTGTGCAAGTCGTAAATGGACATTTGATCTGACTTAATACGATAAAGCTATTACGAACATGACTACTATACGAGTTATGTCATTTTACGACTTCTAAATATATCACTGTTATAGCAGTTATAGTCAAATTACGATTTAAAACACATTGACTGCTATAACAGTGACTGTCCATCAACGTGTTAGATATCAATTGTTAAATACGTTGAATTGCTTTAATAGATATTTATTCATAAATATATTTATAAATCAACTAATAATTAGGAATAATGATAAAAATATGAGTTAATTTTGCTTTTAGAATAATCAACCAATTTCTTAAAATTAAACACTATCTACAGATTTGCATCGAAGCGTTTTTCATGATATTGATTTTAATCACTGCTAGATATTGTCTATACTTGTCCCAACTATGTCACGTCTATACTGAGCTACGACCCCACTGTGACACAGTTTTTTTTATATTTTTTTACATATTTTACCAAAAAATATGAATATTATAAACTAGTAGTTGAACACACAAATAGAGTTCAAAAATGAATAAATAACAAAGTAAAATTATTTAATTTAATAGTTGAATCTTGTCATATCAAACGTAATTTGACAATAAATACTTTAAAAACATTAAAAATGAATGATTTTAATTGTTTATATGGAGAAAGCCTTAACTTTCAAAAATAAAATTGCATATTTAAAATCATCGCGAAAAATTAACCAATAAAAGTGTATATTTGACTCTGATAAAAATTCTTTGTAGACCATTTATTCATAATTAACAACAAGTATTCTGAAAAGTTTTATATCAGCCTTTCAGTTTTTAACACATTTGACATAAAAATTATAACTACTTTATAATTTTTTATAACTTAATATATCCCTTAACTAACCAGCCTTCCCATAAGAATGACTATGCAATGGAATATTATTACCAATCCTATAAGTTACCAATACATAAGTACTATGAGTCTTATGAAATGACTATGCATACGGTAATAAATTGCATATATAAATCGTTAATGAAAAACTATAAAGTCGTACCTAATAAAAATCTTTTGTGAATTTACATAATAAATATAAATTGCAAAATCGATTTTCGTTCATTAAGGTACGTCTGAATAGTCGCGCATCAACTAATCATTCATTTTTATCGCAATTGAAATTATTTATATTAAAGAACCGTGATAGTGATTCATATTATTTGATAAGCGGCCTGTATTTAGTCCTAAGTAATTAAAAAAAATTCTAAATAAAATTAAACAGTTAAAAAGTTGAATAACACGGAAGTTTTATATTTAATTCATGACTTGACGAATAAGGTACTTTGAATGTTTATAAATAAAAAAACAGTATTGTTGTACTTAAATTATTTGTGACATACTCATCCTTTAACTGAAATAATGATATTTTTACGAACAAGTATGAAATAAGAGAATAATTAACTATTAATATCCGTAAGTAAATATTATTTAATTGAAATATATACAGATATTATCTCTGCTTGATGAAATATAGAAATAATTTCTAAATTTATTTTTCGAGTAATTTCTTTTAAATTAATTTAATAAATAAGTGTAATTATAATTGCGAAATTTACCATTAAAAAGTATTAACCTTCAAAAATATGTTTTTAACATTGAAATTTAATTTAATTTATTTCTTGGGAAAATATTATCTTATTACTAGTAATAATTATATGTAAATTAAGTAAAATTAAAACTATATTAAAAATATTATTAATTTAAAAAAAACTAAAAAATATTAAACTCAAAGCCACAAAAAATTAATGAAAAGTCAGTATGTGTTTAGTGTTGATAATGGTAACATTGTTTCCGAAATACGAAGTAACGACTTTTCATTAATTTTTTGTGGCTTTGAGGTTAATATTTTTAATATTTTTTAGTTTTTTTTAAAATAATAATATTTTTAATATAGTTTTAATTTTACTTAATTAATTAGCCACAAGTGATCAATTTTTATTATATAAATATGTAAATTACCTAATTTTTAAAATTTTTATATTTCATTTGATTTTTAGATACATTTTTTGAGATGCCTTGTCAAGGTTGTTTAAAACGGTATGTTTTCTTAATTTTCATTATTATAAATAAATATATATATTATTGAAGTATTCTTGTATATTCTAATGCATTATTATGTTGAGATTATTAAATTTTTAGTGATAGTAATAAGTAATTTATTTGTATTTAAACTCTTAATCAGAGTAATACAAAATCATGAAATAAATTGTAATTCAATAATGTATGATTTTCTTTTTCAATTGGGCATAATAATAATTTCTTCTACCCAATTGAAAAAGAAGTTCATAATTATTATGAATAAAGTCTAGATTTATATGCATTTTCTTATAATTACTAAGGGCAAGTAGCTCAGTAAAAGTAAAACATGTTAATGATTTATAAAACATAGAAATCACAAAAACAAAATTTTAGTGTTTATAAATGCGTATTTTAGAGATAAGAGGATATTAAATGTTTTCTACAAAATTTTGGTAGAAAATATTATAAAATTAATTTTTTTTTACAACCAAAAAATAACTATTTTTAATAATAAACAGTTTATCAGAAAAGTTTAATTAAAAATGGTTTATGAAGGCAATATAATTAAGAAAATAATTTTAAATAAGTTTTTTTAACAAGGCCTTGAATTTAATATTATTAAATAAGTACTTTTTTAATAGTAACGGTTATGCATAGTTAATGTAGGAGATCGTTTTAAATAGAAGTTTAGGATAGGAGAGGCCGACCATAAGTAGTTAGGCTAAAGGCGATGAAAAAGAAGAAGTGACAATATTATATGGTATTTTTTATTTTTCAAAATTACATTCTATTAATTATACATTATTAATTGAATTGAGAAATTTAATATAAGATAATAAAGAATGAAAGCCATGTTTTATAAAATTTAAATTGTTTTTCATTTTTTATTGGTAGTATTAAAATCATATTACCTAATATTAAAGTAAATTCTGGCAAACACGTGTATTTAATTATGATAATGATTTCATCATTATTAAATTATTATACATATTCTAAATTTAATTTTAATAAAATTAATGTACCAATTAATGAAAACATTTTTAAATGAAGAATTTTTCATTTAATATTATAGAATACTCATAATTATTATTTAAGAGAGAATTAAATTACATAAAATTTTTTTTTTTACATTTTGACTATATTTCTATACTTATTAATAATATTTCTTAAATACCAATAATTATTTAATTATTATAAACATTTATATTAAAGATTAGTAATATAATATAAACTTGTAAAACTAGTAATATTTAGTATTTTCAGTACAAATTCTACTTTAATAGACATTAATGTCATTTAACATGAATGACCTAATTGATTTCCTTGAATTAAAAATAAAAATGTAAAATATTTTATATTGAGTAAAATTTTCAATTTATTTTTAATAAAATAGCAAGTATTGTTTTATAATTATAATTATATGTAAGAAATGAAATACATAGGTAAATATATTTATATATATACAGATTATGTAATTATATACATTTTATACTGATGTATGGACATTCAAAAAGGTTTTGATGGGTCAATAAAAATTAATAAGTATAATTACTTATACAGTTACGGAGTGCACATACACTAATACAAAGTGCCCCCACTAGCACTACATACCCATACTATGTATTAAAATGCTTGTAATTCAACAATTACTTAACCTAAAGTTTGTTATTGAACCATCAAAATTTTTTTAGAAAATATCTTAAAATTGGCTATAGTAAGATTTTCAAAGAAAAATATTCAAGTAACATATAATATTTACTGGATCAAAAGTTATAAATTTTGAATATATACATGTCATAACTGATAACTCCTATCAATATTTTGTTTTATTTTAAAATAGCCGAATTTCAACAATTTTTTGACAAAAATGATTAATGGGTTGATATTAATTTTAAGATGAGTAGTTATTAAATTACAAGCATTTTAATTAATACTATGCGGTATGGTTGAATAAAGGTCGTAATGATGTATATTTAATATGCATTCTCCAGTAGTCACAAATTCAATTTATGTATTAATATGCTTGTAACTCAATAATTACTTATCTTAAAGTTGTTATTGATCATTTTAGTAAGAAAAGTACTGAAAAATTGACTATTTTAAGATTTAAAAAAAATGTTAAGTTACAATGAAATGTTGATTATACCAAAATTAATAGAAGTTGTCAATTAGTTTTATTCCACCTTATATTGATTGAAAACTGAAATAATTTAATTAAGAAAATAACTATACTATAAAAATTTATAGACAATGATTTTGGAAATTTATAAGATGTTTATATCTAAGCAGGAAAAAGAGTACAGCTGGGAAATGAATAGTAATATAAATAATAACACCTACACCTCACTTCCAGCCTTCACTATAAAATGTTAATAATTCCCAGAATACTGGTCCAAAAGTTGTTATCGACCAGTCATTTTATTAATTACAAAATTTTCTATTTTATAAACTAGTTAATGTAATAATTTGCATAATATGTAATAGTGTATATAATGTATCATACATAGCTAGATATGTATTTTGCCATCTAAAAGAATAAAGTTGACACCAATATAAGGTATAAGGGATGAACATAAAAAATACTATATGATTCATAAATTGTGTAAAAAATATACCTAAACGAACTATAAAAAAATTCTCAATATTATTTCTGTTTTATGACTAATTAAGAGATTTGTGATAAATGATTCACTTTATTGTTACGGACAGATTATTCGTCCTACACCAACATTAACAATTAACAACTACACTAGTGCCTGATCAGCACAAACGACCCTACAGCTCAACATGAGTATGAGGCACGCAGATGTAAATAAACCAATTACATACTTTTCTTAAGTTAATTAAAAACATAACGGAGGCAGTCGACATTTTACCATGCTTGCGGCAACATACCTTATTGATCTGATAACTTAACTCGCGCAGTATTGCTGTGGTTACTAAATTAAATACTATTATTATTTTACTTAAAACTGCTAACTGCCCTTTTAGTGGGATATAAATGATATAGGGCCAGCATTGTCCTGTTTAGGCACAGCTTAGCCAACTGTTAGGACCCTAGTGCTTTCCTGTTAGAAAAGCATGTTGCACTATATACATATGTGACAGCTTATTTTCTAATTATTAATTATATCTGATTAGAAACTTATTAGCAGTCAGTTTAAGAGTTATTCTTCTAACAATTTATGAAATTTATATCTACTGTTTTATGAAAATTTATTGAGGGGTTGTTAAATTTAGCCCTCCTTAAATTCTATTTATTAATCAATATGTTAGCATTAAAAATTAATTGCATAAAATTATGATGATATTCTGTTCATCATTCACCAATTTGAAGACACTTTCATCTTTAATTTTTTATGTATTTTTATAAAAATACTTTAAAAAAAAAAGATATGTTAAATAAAAAATGGTCTTTAACTTAAAGTAAGACTTAAGACATATGCCCCTATTGATTTGCCTTTGATTTACGGTATCTTTAGATGATAAATGTTATTTGAAAGAAGAGAGATCTAAATAAATTCAAAAAATAAAAAAATATGTACATTATTGCCATGTATTCATGGTAAAATTTAGGAGTTGCATCATTACCACAAATCAGGAAAATCTGGAAAATCATGGAATTTAAAAATAGTTATAAAAATCATAAAAATGTCAAGAATTTTGATGATTTTATCTGAGATTTTTAAAATTTGATCATACCTTTCATAGTTGTTAGTTCTTATCTTTTTTAATCACTACACTCATCCATCTAAGCATTCTCATCTCTTATACACACATTCTCTACTCAACCGCCCTACACTGAACCATACATCATAGCTGGTCTCACTACAGTGTTATAGATCTTACCTTTCAGCCTCTTTGGAATTCTTTAATCGTTTAATGCACCAGACATTTCTCTCCACTTTAACCACCCGCACTTAATTCTGTGTCTTACATCCTGGTCATTACCATCATTCGTTTCACAACTGATCCTAAATACTTAAAACTTTATATCTTACTTTTAATAACACTTTATGTTATTTTTAACTGATTAATCAATGTCAAAGTACCACATTTGAAATTCTCATAACATTTTCTGTTTAATTATTGTGTTTGGTTAAATATATAATACTCAACTTCAGAAGCCTCATGACACTTGTTTACTTAGCCTTATCAATCTCAAAGTAAGCACAGTTCATTTTTATTAGTTTTAAATAAATTTAGAGTCCAACAGTATAAAAATAAAATAAAACATTTTTATAAGTATATATTACACATTTTTTTGGTATTTTAATTTTAAAAATAAAAATTTTATATTTTCTTAAAATAAATTAGGTATTGATAGAAAATTATTAATTATGTTACAGGATTGCAATTCTGTAAAATTACCACTTTCTCAATTGTAACTATTTAAAAATAGTTTTATAGGTTTATCAAATATAAAAAATTATAAGCAATGATTTCAAAAATTGTCACAGTTCTTTTATTCATTTGTTTTTTAGTGTAAGTAATTTACATACATTTTATCATATTATGTATTGGTATGAACCATAATTCATTTTTTTATATCATGTTATATTTTTTTATTTATACAAGTGATCGGAATCTGGCAAGACACTTTCTCAGAGACTATTGAGAATTTAAAATTTTTGTAAAGGTAAAAAATATTTGGTTTAAAAAACTACAATAATATGCAGTTAAATCATTTTTTTTTATTCCTTTTGGAATAAAAACCCTTATTTATAATTTTTTAAAATAGGAACCCCTTTTTTTAACTTCATAATTTAATAGAAAAAGAATTTACAGTTTTGTCTTTACAATTTTTTTCATCCGATTAACCGTTTCCGTTTTACACATTATTTAATGATTTGGATGTCAAGTAAAAATTCATATTTGAGTTGGTTTTATAATACCGATGATAGCAATAATCTTTTTCGATAGTGACTATATATTAATGTTATTTCTCATTTAGATAACTGTCTGGAATATTATTTATGATAACTACCATGATAAATTATTTATGGGCCATTATAACAGATTATTGCCGCTACGGTAACAGCAATAATACTGATTGCACCGACACTGGTATAATAATACCAAATCAATGATGAATTTTTACTTGATATCCAAATTTTTAAATGTGTAAAACGGAAACGGTTAATCGGATGAAAAAGATTGTAAGGACAAAACTGTAAATTTCTTTTTTTATTATATTATAAAGTTAAAATTAATGATTCTCATTAGAGAAAATTATAAATAAGAATCTATCCTTGAAGTGACAAAATAGAGATTTTATGACATATTATTGTAGAGTTTTTTAAACCTAATATTTCTTATAATCACAAAAATTTTAAATTCTCAATAGTTTCTGAAAAAATGAGTGTCTTACCAGATTTTTAATCACTCCGTAAATTGATTATGATTTTATTTCATTCATTTTAAAAAGAGGAATTTTCATCAAAGTTATACTAAACAAAAAACTGCTTTAAATATATCTAATTATTTTGTGACTATATTGATTATAATTTTACTGTGGGGTATTATGATTCAAATAATTAAATATGATTTCTACAAATTTTAATTATAATAGTTCAAATATTAACTGTTTTTTGACTTAAAATTTCAATTGGGCATGTCAAAAGTTAAGAAAAATCCTTAACCTATCCTGTATTCTAATATATTACCAAGTACTGGATGAGACAGTAAAATTGGCATTAAAAACAAATTTTTTTAAGCACTTGATTAAATTTATTGTGTTAAGAAAGGTGTCCAAGTATTAAATTTTCGAATCATAAAAACCTAAAAAATGAATAGAAAATATACTTCTACTTATTAAGGACCACTGAGGCATTCTCTTAAGTAGAGGTTTCTTAAATGTGTATTTATTTTGGTCATTGCCGGAGAGAGGGAACATTCAATAGAAAAAATGCCAATCTACTTAAAAATTAAAGAATGTTTATCATGCTTTTTTGTTTACAAATTTCAATTTGAGTTTAAGAAATGGAGTTTTAAAACAAATGCTTTACAAGTCTCTTAAATTTTCATAAAATATAGACCGTTTAGAAAGTATTATGAACTGGTTCAAGTTTTTTCTATCTTGACTTTAATCTACGCATATATGTGTTTTAAGGAAGTCCTAAGCTTCTCTCAGCCAATTTACGCCTACGCTTAAGCGAATTTTGAATAATAATTTTTTTTTTTAATATAAATATTTAAAGAAGTTAATTTCGTAAGCTAATTACAATTTTCTAAACACTCATATATTTTTAAAAAACTACTCTTTACTAACATTTACTCGGAAAAGAAATTAAAATACAAAATGATTCATTTTGTATTTATATAAATAAGTATATTTAAATTTTGTAATTTGTTTTGTTGAATCCTCAAATATCCACCATTATAATGGTACGTTTACTCTTTCAATCATTTGTAACAAATATTGTTTTGCATAGTAAATGTATTAGTTTAAAGATATATGTGTCCTTACATTTTATTATTATGCTAGTTATTTTAATTTTAATTGCTTTTTCTATAGTTTAATCAAATCGGTAGCGCTATAGTGGCCGATGCGCAATGTCTTAGAATCTATACAAGCTCACGAGCAGCTTCGTTTGCTGAGCGAGAGATTAGTTCAATAATTGAAGGGATCTGTACAAAATCAAGAAACTTTTTACTATAAAAAATATATAATTTTTTTAATTTTCTGGCAGGTAGAAGAATACATGTAAAAATTTCTGGTTTTTTTTGTGTCTTGAAATTAAAAAAAAAATGAAGTTATCTTGTTTATGTACAGAGCCCTTCAATTTGAGTCATCATCCCTCTATCCGATGACTGATTAATCCGTTATCTCGGAGTGTATAAGGATAAAAAAACTTCCCCTTTGAAATAGACCACATTGACCCTTAATAGGCTGTAGTAGCTAAAAAAATATATCATAAAAATTATTTATAATAGTTCAAGACACTGATTTACAGAAATGTTAGTTTACTAGCCTAAAAATTTCACATCTTTAAATTGACATGATTTTTATTTTTAAATAAAAATCTATTAATTATTATTAATAATTGAACTATTATAAAACTTAAAAACTGCTATTTCTTTTAAACTTGAAAAGAAATAAATTATAGCTCTACAATTAAATTTTTACTATAGAAAAATAAATTGCATCAAATTATTTAAATTCATTTTTTCATTTACTATTTTATGAAATCATCAAATATTTTAATTGAATATTTAATTATTTGAATAAAATATCTAATTTCTTTGTCAAGACAAATATTTGTAATTTAAAATTTTAAAATTTGTAATGCACACTTATGAAGTATTATTGTATAATAGTGTATTAAATTTGTTTAATTTTTAACAAAATTATCTAACTAAGAACAAAATTAAACCCCTTCCCCAAAATCGTTTGTTCTGTATTAAAATTAATAGAGAAAATTATAAGGAATTAATTTTTTTTAGAAAACTGTACTTAGCTAGAAGAGACTTCATTATTCATTTTTGGTTATTTATTTTTTTTGTTTTGTAGAATTAGTGTTAAGGGGACCCGGTGGTCTAGCGGCCTAAAATTTAGCCTATTTTTAAAAATTTTTTTTGATATGACAGAAATGATTAAGGGTTTTAAATTTTTTAAGGCTTATTTTATTACTTATTAACAATACAAAAATGATGGTAAACACAAAAAAATTTTTTTTTTTTAATTCCAAAAGTGGCGCTGAAGTTCCCCTCTCAAAAAAAAAGGACCTGGCTGCTGAAGGAGGTTTTATCTCTCCCTTTGATCTGAAATTAAAAAATAAGACGGATTTTTAATCAGTATAAGTATAGTTATGGCAGGAACTAGAATAAAAAAAAAAAAAAATTTGACAAAATGGCGCGTAATTCAAAGTACGAGTCTGAAAACGACTCTCTTTTGCAATGTTTTTTTAATAAAAAAAATAGAAATACTCAACAGAAAAAATTTTCCTAGTCCCGGCGAGAGCCAGTACTATTTAGAATGACCTGTTAAAATTTTAGACGAATCGGTCGAACCGTTTTTTTTTTTTAGCTTCAGTAGACCAAAAAAAGTAGTTTCGAGATAAACGCGTTTAAAGTTTTAAGTAACTATATTCTCAAGAAATTGGATTGAAATATTTATATTTTTATTTCTTCAGAGACGGCTTTTTCGAAAACAATTTTGGTAACGGCTTCTGCAGCAATTTTTATGTTATTTACTATACTATAATAAGTACTGTTACAGAGGCCGTGTCCTAAATCCATCAATCCGCAAAAATTGTTAATTCCTTGGAAACCAAGGAAGCCCTTGAGTTGGAGCCCAACTCACCGATCGTCTACCTGACATTGTAATGGGTTTTAAATATAGAAATACTCGGAATTTTGTCACCAAATTTTAACAGTATATTTTTGAAATACTATACTTTCGAAATATGTAAAAAAAAAAAAATCGATTTTTCGAAAATTCTAGACCACCGGGTCCCCTCAAGATTTATAAAATAAAATAAAAAAGTTAATGTAAAATTTAATTAATTATTTGTCACTAATTATTCCATATATTTGCTTTTGACTATAAAAATATTCATTATTCATATTTTAATAATCTCTCATTGTCTTATCATTATTAAAAACCGGTATTTTATTCTCATTGTAATAATAGGGTTTGCTGCAGAAAAGAGATAGCTCAACATTTGAATTTATACGTCATATATTGTAAAACAAAAAAATTCTTTAATTTAATATTAGAAAAATCATTTACATGAATTTATAGTCAAGGAATTTAACGAATAAAATAACAAAAACCATTGTATTAAATGAAAGTATAAAACTTTGGTAACTATTTTCTAGAAAATATAAAGTATGGAGCTACTTTCTTTATGCAGCATACCCTTCCATTAACACATTAATTTATGTATGTATTTTGTTAAACTATTTAAATACAATTATTTGATTTACTAGGACTTGTTGTATTATATCAAGTTTTTTCGGAATAATATTATTACTCATATTTATAATAATACCTGTTGTATTCCGTTACTCACCACCACTTCAAAGGGGAATGATATTTTTGAATTATGGTAACTATAATATTATTTCTTATAAAAAATTTTTGTTGTAATAATTTCTAAATTAGTGTTAATTATAGTATATTTAATAATAATTAATTTTTATTTTCTCAAATATATATATATATATAATAATTCTTTAAATTACATCTTAAATACATATTTTTTAATTTTCAGTGCGTTATCCCAATAATAATAACTATATTCATCCTGAAAAGTATGGAATTAATGGCACCAGGAATTTTTACATAACAACAAACGATAATATTACTTTAGGAGTTTGGTAAGCAAATCAAATAGTAATTTATTTATTTATCTCTTTCATAAAAAATATTATTAAATTATCAATTTTATTTTTATCTTGTGTAAAATATACCTTTAATTATGATCTATATTTAAAATTTAAAATAACAGTAAAAAGTGTAATAAATTATAAAAATCATTTTCAGTCTAAAGATTTTGTTTAAATTATTTTGTATTATTAATTTTTATATTTTAAATTAAAAATTGCATTTACAAATATTAAATTATAAAAATTGTTTGCTTAATATTGTAGGCACGTTTTACCTGCTAAATTACTGCAACAGAATGAACACAGAAGCAACAATTTTGAACAACTTTTAGGCCATGGTGATCCTATTATAATATATATGCATGGGAATGCTGGTACGCGTGCAAATGAGCATAGAGTAATGTTATATAAAGTATTGCAAAATGTTGATTGTCATGTAATAGCTGTAGATTATAGAAGTAGGTATTCTTTATAAGCTATAATTTTGTATTATAAAATATGTTATTATAATATATTATTGTATATATTTTCAAGGTTATGCAGATTCAACTGATGATACAATAAGTGAAACAGGTGTTGTAAATGATATTATGGAAGTATTTAAATGGGTGCACAGTCGTGCTAATGGCTCTCCTATTTATGGTTGGGGACATTCATTAGGCACTGGGTAGATATTAAAAATATTACATTTTTGAAATGTGTATACATAGGATCTTTTTAAAATAATGTTAAAAAAGTATTAACATTTAAAAGTAATCAGATAATAATAATCTAAAAATTAAAAAGAAAACGGTTAAAGAGTAGAAGACATTAATAAATTGAAATGATACTCAAGTAAGAAAAAATATATTAAAAATAACCAAATCTTATTATATAATAGAACAAGGAAAAAAACGCTTTTCTGGGAAAATTACTTAGCGTGCTCGGATTTTCAAAATTTTTTTTTTCAACGAAAGTACTAGGTCACCAAATTTCAGGAAAATTTTTGGCCCTCGCCCGCGAGCGTTTTAAAATTTTGACCGTTTTTTTTTTTTTTTGAGAAAAACGCTCGCTGAAGCCATCGTTTTACGACTTAAATTTTGAAATTTTCATTAGATCAGCCCAATGACATTCCTGAGATATGATAAAAAAATCAATTCAATCCGTTCATTTTTCACCGTTTTACGAGCTTTTTTTTTTCACTCGCTCGAGACGCCAGAGCGTGCTGCCCGAAATTCTTGCGTCACTTAACGAAATGAAAACGATTTTTTTTACGATTCGCAATCATACCACAGCGTTCTGTACGTGTCAAGGAAGCGCCAAAAATCCGAAAATCCGAGATCCCAATAAAACTGGCCGCTACGAGTTTTTAAAATTCATCAAATTTTAACGATAAATAACATTTTTTCTGTATGCCAACAACACATTTACACGTCCTATTATATCTTATTATATAATAGAACAAGGAAAAAAAAGCTTTTCTAGGAAAATTACTTAGCGTGCTCGGATTTTCAAAAAATTTTTTTTCAATGAAAGTACACGCGCATGGTTTTAATATGTGCAGTGATTCATTTCTGCTCATACGTTTATTATGAACCTTAATTATATGGTGTAATATGTATTTTTATTAGAACACTATTTTGCATTTGCACATAGCACTATATTTTATCGAGAAATATATATTATATATAAATTTCAAGACGGTTATAATTATATAAGTTTGTACTTTCATTTTCAGAACAGTACATAATTAATAATCTTTTTTTTTTTCATCTATGATGTATGAGTTTATCGTTTAAATTAGGATTCATCTATAACAACTATATTGCCCAACGTTAAATCGCAGTTACCAATAATTTTATCAAAATTAAATTTTCTACATAGTCCTACGTATAATAGCCTGCTGAATTTTTTTTAATTATTCTATAATATAAACACAATTATTATAATTAGAATATTAATAATTTTTGTGTATACCAGGGGTGTATTTAAAGGAGATATGGGCCCCCCTTGAACCAGCGTTATCAATATTTTTTTAAGCAACTTCTAATAAATAAGGACCTAATGTCCTTTTTTTTCATCATTATTTTTAGCAAAAAAAATTCTATAACATGTTTAATAAAGTAAAAAATATTAAATACCCTCCTAAAATAATTTTTGAATTAACAAACGTCAACCTTATACCCAAACATTTTACTATATTCTCTTTTTGAATTTTCCAGATTTTAATAATAACATTTTTAATATATTTTTGTTACACTGATTCTGATGTAATATTTTTTCTGCAAAACAATTATCGTGCCCGGCGTAGCCGAGTACCCCTACCGGAATCAGTGACCTACTTATGATGACGGCCCAAAGAGACTTACGCGCCGAAGGCACTTTAGGCTTATAGGGCTCCAGGTCTGGGGCGGAGCCTAGTAATATTATATTATCATATGATAATTAATTGAACCAATCATAATATTTTAATTACTAAAGTGATAATTAACAATCATGGTTATTTGAAAAAACTTATAAATAAGTACTTTAAAAATATATAAATTATTAAGAGATTTTTTCCTTTTCCACTGTATTGAGTAGACTAATTTAATTTAAACACAATTCTTAGAATACTTGTCAATTTTCTATGCTTTTACCATCAGTAGCGAAAATATTACTATAGTAATATTTTTGATCTTTTAAAACTATAGAGTATATAATCGATTTTTTTAGGCAATTAAGATGTTAAACAAAAGTCTGAACTTAATACTCAATATATTTAACAATTTTTCAAAACTCGTATGTTTCTAACAAAATGGAAAAAAACAATTATCGTATCAATTTCTAAACTAAGCAAACACAACAAACAGCAGAATGTTTCAGGAATATTTCTTTTCTTTGAGCATTAAATGAAGTATTAGAAAAAATAATGAACAACAAACTCTCGTTATTTAGAAGAAAAAAAACTATTTGGTGAAATACAGTATGGTTTCCATAAAAATAGGAGTACCTATGATTCCTCTATTGGAAAATGGATCAACCCAATAAACCTCATAAAAAAGCAAGATATAATAATGTCAATAATGATAATTGGTCATTGCTATCTCACCCATAAATACTTGATGAATATGTAAGAGACAGATCCATGCACATCTTGTGAAACTTAAGTCACTATTAAACACCTACTATTAGAATGCCAATATATCGAAAAAATGAATGAAGCTAAACTATCAAACAATCTAGCAGAATACTTCAACAATTATCCACACAATATCCTCAGAACATTTTAAAAATCATCAAATTACAAAACATTTTGTAAAAAAATAAATAATAACTATCAAAACAAATGATTTAATCAAACCATTTGTTATACAAATTTTAGTATGTACAAAAAAACGTTAAAATTTAAATTACATATAATTTTGAAAATAATTTAACAATTTATAATAGCTTTAATATGTATTAACTATTATTTATAAAAAAATTTTTTTTTGACAGAATAAGTTCCCACGCTTTTTCATTATTGGAAAAAGAAGGACTTTTTTCAAAAGGTCTTATATTAGAAGCTCCATTTACTAAGATAAGTGAAGAAATTCGGGAATATCCTCTTGCTAAGGTTGTAATTATATTATAATAAACTGTTATATATATATATATATATATATTGTAACAATAATAATACCTTTTTTTTTTTTACAGATTTACGGTTTTTTACCTTGGTTTGACTATTTTATTATTGATCCAGTTGTAGAAAATGGTATTGTATTTGATACTGAAGAAAACTTAAAAACCACTAAAATGCCTGTTTTAATTTTGCATGCACGAGATGATGTTATAATACCTTATAAACTTGGGGAAAAGGTATAAAAAATTTTTAATTCAATTAGTAATATTATTATTGTTAAAAATATATCATAACTTTAAAGATGTTTATTTAATGATCATTTAATAGTGTGGTAAGATAAATAAAAAACATTAAAATTGGTTTCATATTTTTATGGCTCTTATAATCTCAAAATTTTTTTTTTTATTTGTATTATAGTTGTATAATTATCTAATGAAATCTAGAGATAATTCAACATATGTTGAATTGGTGTTATATGATTCTCACCTAAAATTTAACCACAAATTTATATGTAAAGATAAAGAATTAGGGAACAAAATCAAGTAAGAATTTTGTTTATTTAAGTTTTAGCTTTGATATGTAGCTGAGAGGTTTTACACTTCCTTTTTCTTTTATGTAACTGATACGTTAAAATAACATACATGTCATACTAAAGCTATTAGTGCCATAATTTTTAATTATTCTCTTCAATCGTCGTAATAAAAGGAAATGTCTCAAAATATTAAAATTATCATAAAACAGCCAATGTCAATATTTAAAATTTTAAGAACTTTCTTAAAAATAAAATTTTGGCAATGATAGAATCTATCTAGTTGAATCAACTAGATACAATTTGTGATCTTTCCATATCGTTGAATAAAATCTACTTAGTAGGGGTGGAGTAATCATGTATAGTAATACAAAAAAAACAAAACATATAAAAGTAAAATTAATACTTTCTTTGCTACCTATCAAAGGTAAAAAAAATGATATTTCTCATAAGTTACTTTATTTGTTAAAACTTTCTTATAGATCTTATTAATTTATTGGTAAATTCTATTTTTCAGGAAATTTATAAATAGTACTTCTAGCATTATGTCTTAATAAATTTAGAAATATTGTTTTGTGATTAAATAAAATTAAAATTTTTTTACTTTGAACAATAATTCCTTTATTATTTTCTTATTAGATTATGTTTTGTGATTTTAAAATTTGATAAATATTAAATGTTTTTGTTATTATATGTTGATCAATAATTATTGTTATATAAATAGTTATTTTTTATAGCATTGTAAATTATTATTGTATGTCATTTAGCAAAAATAATTAAACTTTACACAAAATTTTTACGCTAATTTTGTAAAAATGTATTTTTTATTTATTTTAATATATTTTAATCAATTTTATTTTGAACAAATATCACAAATAGTCTTACATTTTAATGGTTTTACCAATTAACAAATAAGACAAGAAATGGATATTAGTATAATTATGTATTGTGTTGTTGAAAGTAATTAAAAAAAACATGATTATTTTTACAATGTAATTATTTCCTCCAACATTTGAAAATTGTTTTATTATATTTTGTTGCCTCTTACAATCAAAGATAACTAAAAAAAAAATAATATATTTTCAATAAATTTTATTAAATTATTTGATTTTGAAATTGAAGTTAATAACTTCTCTAAGAAATTATTGTTATAACACTCAAAAAGAAATTAATCAAAAATAAATAAAAATATATTTTTAGTTGATATTATCTTTTGATCCTACATCGACGACTTGAACTAATAATTACTAGATTTTTTTAAATACACTATATTAATAAATGTTTGAGGTCATACATTTAAGCAATTGCTTTTTATATATTGATTTATTATTTCAACAATCGAGCATCATCAAATAAACCATCAGGGCTAGCTGCTAAGAATTGCAAAGTTTTATGAACAAATAAACCACAAGCTTTAATATTCACACCAAGCCTGTGTTGTAAAACTTATTTTGCCAATGATTCACTTTGAATACCATACTTTAGCAATTTAAAAATCATAATTCATAAAACTACAAATAAATATAAAATTGCTTAAAAAGTAAATTAACCTAGTAGCAGCATCGCCTAGGAAAAGGTAAAAAATACATATTTCAGTATTTGCTCGGATACAGGCCGTAGCCAGAAAATGTTTATTGGAGGGGCCAACAATTTTGGGCCCTTCTATCATGTTCCATAATTTGTTTCCCATGAAAAGCTTGTGGGAGGGCTCCCTCCACTCCTCTTTAGACAGTATCCCATACTTTGAATCTTACAAGTTCAAAATTTTACCATTAGTTGGTTAAAAACAAATTGTTTTCGTATAAAGTATACTAATTATTACAGTATTATAAAAAATGGATAGTATCTATAGTAAAAAAAGAAATACTTTTATCTTCACTATCGGGATGAATTATTCATATTGTGAAAAATAAATAAAATAATGATGTGAACATAAGATGATTTAATTTTTCAACTTTTAAGCTATTAAGAAAAAATAATTTATACCTAAATACTAATAACAAATTAGTTATAAATAATTTTTAAAATAAATATAAATTATAAACAATGTAAAATTTATTTTATTTAAAATTAAAAACAATTCCTGCCTTTTTTTAGTCATATTTTTGTTACTATTATTTAGAGCACGCAAATAACAAATTAACAAAAACAAACAAATTACCTATTGTAACTACCATAGTAAAATGAATAAGAAGTATGCTCGATCAAATTAGTGCGCATGATAAGCCTAGGGGTAAAATATGTAACCAACAATAAACTCAACGTGACGTCACATGTAAATACATTGCGTTGTATATATTCTATATTAAGGGGCACTGTCCCGTTATAGTCAAGTATTTTAATGAACTTTTTTTAGTTAATTTCGGTTTTCAATTTCATTTATAATTTTTTTATTATTATTATTAACTTCAACTGTGTTGTAATACATCTTTATTGTATTATCTGCTACACTGTAGTAGTTTATAAACCAAGATTTAATTCGTTGATAAATCTAACCTGAGAAAAACTTTAACTGCATAGTAAAATTTTACTATGTTTAACTGCATATAAATAATTAAATATCAATTTATTGTGTAATTACTTACAGTAAGTATAAATTGTTACATTATTTATAAAAAATGTAGTTTTAATGATTATTTAATAAATTTTTGAATTTTTTTTTTATTGCTCATTTCTCGTGATGCAAGATTTTTTATTTATATTCCGTATTCTAAAATATATTTTTGTTCTAATAATGAAGTTTTTGACTTCATCATCCACCAAAAGATTATCTGAATTACATGCTTTTTTAGTTAATTCCAGTACCTCCTTTATTAAGCCTGGAGTTTTTCTAATATCATCTATTAAAAATTTAATCATAGGTATGTAAAAATATTTTATATTAACTGTATTTCTATAAGTACCATTTTCATTTAATTTTTTAAAAATAGTTCCTATGATTTTTCCTAAATTTATTAATGTAGGTGATGGTTGTCGTAATGTTCCAAATTATTTAACCTCTATGCAATCATTAGGTTCATTCAAATTATCTACAAGATTCGGATATTTGTATTCAAATTTAAAAGCTACATATCCCCATTAAATATGTTAGGCTGTCCTCAAATAAATCTGATGGATTATATTTATTATTAGCAGCACACTAAAAAAATATACAATGAAAAGGTACTAGAAATATTGAAATATTATATTATATAATTTTTATATTATAAAAATAAAATAAACATAATCTATATTTCAAGATTATATTATGCTATCTCTCTCATTCACTTAATAAGTAAAATAATTTCTATAAATAATGTTGATTGTTTTTTAAAATTCACATTAATTAATACTCATTCATTTTTTTAAAAAAAAAAATGCTATGCGCTATGTTTTCCAAAAATGTACCATCTTAACTTAATGTAATATATTTAATATTAATTTCTTAAGTTAATGTGGTGTTAATTCAATGTTAAAACATAAAAAAATAAGTCTGCACACTAGTTAATATAGCTCACGTTTAATTAACGAGGTACAAAATCCTAATTTTTCATTAAAATACAAAAGTTACAACAAAAAAATACATAGAATCTAAAATAAGTATCCACGATTAAATTTATTATAAAATATTATTGAATGCGTTGTTTTAAAGTAATTAATATAATTATTACTTAAAAATTATGTCTATCATATATATTATATCAGAATTATCAATTTAAAAATCGCCCGGTTTTAAAGTGCATTCGGAAGCGGTCGTATTTCAACGATCGTATACGAATGCACAAAAACACAAGGAGATGCACTTGCGCGTACTACGACGAAAATGCTGACTGTGATCGAGCATACTTCTTATTCATTTTACTATGGTAACTACTACATTATAAAAAAAGAAACAGATTAAAGATAAGATTTATCAGAAAAATTTTCATAGAGTATTACTCTATCGAATTTTGTAATCAACTAGATTCTAATCAATGCAGATACATGGTAGTTTGTTATCATTTGTTGGACCAGAGTTAAAAAAATTTTACTTACACCACGTTTGGAGTAACTGCTATTCCATTTATTATTACGTCTAGAACGTTATCTTTTTCAAATAATGTTTTCTATGAATATAAAAATGAAAATACAGCCATAATAATAATTGTATTACCCAATAGTAATCACAAATTAATAATAATTTCAATGTATATAAGACCTAGCACGTTTTTGATAATTCGTAAAAATAATTGAATTTTAGATTTGGGGGGGCCCCAGCCATGGGTCACATTAAATCTAAGGGGGGCCAAGCCCACCCATGTCTACGTGCCTCATCGGGTATGTTACGTATGCCCGAATTGACTCAATATTAATCTTCTAGTATGTTTATTTCGTTCATTTATAGCTATATTGATACATTTTAGCAAATATCATTTATACAGGTGTAATATCAAGTATGCATTTGTAATTATTTTTAGGCAGTCTACGTAACTAAATAAGAAATATGCCTTAAGCGTCATAGTCTAANGTATTGCCCTACGTAACTAAATAAGAAATATGCCTTAAGCGTCATAGTCTAAAATTATTAATAAAAATTAAAAAATAATAATTATTGAAAAAAATTTGCTTTAAAATAATAATTGTATCAAAAGTTGTAAATGTTTTTCAGGTAGATCTGAAATACCTGTATATTTTAGCTTTATTCTTCACAGTGTCTGCAGGATTAGAGGAATGTATCAAGCAATGAAAATTTTTTTTAAAACTATATTATGTATTTTAAAATTGATATAAATAATAATTATCAAACAAATACATTTAATGTTAATCAAAACAGCATTCAAATAAACTAAATTTAAGTTAACAATGTTCTTTCCAGTTCAAATTAGCCCAATTGGGCATCTGTGTTTTGTATTCCCATCCAGGTCCACTGTATTTATAAGCATGCAAGTACATTATAAGATTTTCTGGTTTTGGGTCTCTATAATTTGTTTGGCATTCTTTACAGTAAGGATCAATAGATAGTTTACTATGATCAAATATAGAATCTGGCGGATCATATTCTGTTTGTGTATATATAGTATGAGTATGTTTTCCAACATCATAATTTAGTAACTTAGTATTTACTTTTGATGTGTCTTTATTGTTAGAAGCTAGCTCTGAAGTAATTTTTTCATCAGTATTAGACCAGTTTTCAGCATTATGAGCTTTTATTAATTCTTCTATTAATTTTTCATCAGATTTATTAAAATTACCTCCACGTCCTTTTTCAGGACCAAAAATGACATCATTATACAGAGGATCATTAGTAATAGGATGACCTAAATATTGTAAATGAACCCTAATTTGATGCATTCGACCAGAATTTGGATAACATTTAACAAGACTAGTATTTGATGTTTCATTATAATCAATTAATTTAAATTTTGTAGAACATATTTTTCCTTTAGAGGATACTTTGCAAACTCCTATTTTATAGCTGACAACTTCAATAGGCTCACTACATTCAATAGATTCTGGGAATTTGCCTTCAACAATACATATATATTGCTTTTTTACTTCTCTATTACGAATTTGTTCTTCAAGTTTTTGTGCCATACTTTGAGTCCTACCAAACAATAAAATACCACTGGTTAATCTATCGAGGCGATGAATAGTTTTCAAATTCTTTAAATTATGCTCTTTAGCTAATAAAAAAATAACTGTGTTATGTCTATAACGTCCACAAGGATGAACAGGTATACTAGCAGGTTTATTAACAACAACAATATTCTTATCTAAATAAATAATATCAATGGGATCTTTTGTTACTGGTACTTCATGTCTATGAACAGTATTTGACAATAAATCATTATGCTGAAGCACGTAGTCAGGGGTAACTTGTTCATTATTAATGGTCAAAGAACCTTTTTGAATATGATGTTCATATTCTTCAGTAGAGTGGGCACGAAATTCTTTACCAAATACCTCAAGTAAAGTTCTACCCACCCATCTACCTTTTGTATGAGTAGTAAAAGTATAATAATATGGATAAACTTTTCTAAGACCATTTTCAAAATAATAAGATGTTTCATTATATATATTAGATAGCACGTTTTTACCTTCTAATTTAGCTTTTTTATGTTTGCCATTATTACCATCTATTGCTTTAAAGATTTTACGCTTACTTTTTGATGTGGATTCCTCAAATTCAGGTGCAGAGTCACTTGATATTTGACTATCAGACAACGAACACTGGATGTTTATATCTACTTTATTATTTAATGACGGAGCTGAAAGCTGTACAAAATGTTTTTTCATTTCTTTTAATGATATAGAACAAATAATTATTTTAAAGAATTTCTCTAAATTATAAATCATTCATGAAAAAATGTTCAAAATAATTTGCCGATCAAAATGTATAACACAATAAGTTAAAGAAAGTTATCAAGATATATTACGAAAAACTTTTTTCTTGTATTAATTATTATTAGTTAATAGATAAGTAATACCAGTATTCACTGATATTCATTTAAAAAAATAACACGAGTATAGATTAATTGCTGTTATCATTTATTGATAACTAGTTTTATCTCTTCTAATATTGGTACATATAAAGTCTAAAGGATTAAGAAATATATATTGTTTTAAATAAACTATCTGTTATTTAAAAAGTTTCAATATTTGACGTTTATGTCTATTTATTCATTAGTTGGAATTACTAATATTTACAAATAAATATGATACTTTGTTGTAAATTTTGTAGTTGGTATTACTGATATGGAATTGTAATGTTGTTTTGATTATGGAAATTGTTGCAATTCTAATTCCAAAGTTCCAACGCTTAGCGATTCAAATTAATAATTATATAGAATGATGGAAGAAAATATTAAGCAAGAAGTTAAACCAGTAATTGAAGGAATTTCAAAGGAACCCGATGAAAAAAAAACAAATTTGTGTGTAGCTTTAAAAATTCTAAAGAAATATAATTTAAATATAACAGCAGAGACACTGAAAAAAGAAGCTAATTTAACGGATGTTGCTTATAACACTTCTGAACTGGATGTAAATAATGCTCTCAATGTATATAAATCTCAAGGTGATCCATCTGTCTACGAAAACGCGTACTTGACATTATCAAAATTTGTAGAAACTTCCTTAGATATTTATAAACATGAATTAGGATGCGTTTTGTATCCTGTATTTGTTCACATGTATTTAGATCTGATTTGTAATGGCTATGAAGCTGAAGCAGTCAAATTTATAAAAAAATTTGGTCCAGGACAAGAATCATATTATCAAAATGATATAAAGAATTTAGCAGTTATTACAAAAAAAGAGGAATTGAATGATAATACTTTAGTCAGTAATTACAAGTCTAATGAATTTGTTGTCAGAATGTCTAGAGATACTTTATCTCTTTTGAAACGTCATTTAAAAGAGAAAAAACAAACAGTTCTTTTAGATATTGTACAAGAAAATTTATTCTTTGATGTATATGAAGGAATAGCTAGAAATAAACAACAAATAGATGCAGTTGCAGGAGGAATGATTGGTGAAGGAACACGACAGGATAACAAATCTAGAGTTTACTATGGTTTAATGAAAGAACCAGATTTGCAAATTACTGCAGCTGCAGTGAATATGGATGAAGATGAAGAAGACGCACAAGAGAGTGAAAAACCTAAGAAAAAAAAATCTAAAAGTAATCCTTTACTATCTAAAAAAACCAAAATTGATCCAAATGCACCACCTTTAGATAGAATGGCTTTACCCCAATTAAGAGAGGTAATTTTATATTTAATTTATTAGGTTGTAATAAAAGTTTTAATTTTTTTGTAATTAAAATTTTTCAGATTGACAAAAAAATGAAGATACAGGCTGTTTTAGATTCTGCTAAAAGGGTTGCTTTAAGCCCTGAAACATTGCCATCTATTTGTTGTTATACATTATTAAATTGTTCCAATGCTATCAATTGTGCAACAATCAGTGATGATGCTACAATGTTAGCTGTAGGTTTAGCTAATAGTAGAATACGTGTATGGAGTTTAGTTCCACAGAAATTGAGGGCAATGAAGACAGCTGAACAGCTTCAAGATATTGACCTTGAAGCAGATGATGTAATGCACAGAATTTTAGATGATAGATCAGCAGAAAGTATGCGAACATTACTTGGTCACTATGGACCTGTATATCAAGTATCATTTAGCCCTGATAAAACTTTATTGTTATCATGTTCAGAAGACTGCACTATAAGGTTATGGAGTTTATTATTATGGTCATGTCTCGTAGCTTATAAAGGTAGTTATCATCCTGTTTGGGATGTAAGATTTAGTCCACATGGTTATTATTTTGCAACTGCCAGTAGAGATCGTACTGCAAGACTATGGGCAACTGATAGTTATCAATCATTAAGACTATTTAGTGGACATTTTTCTGATGTTGACTGTTGTCAGTTTCATCCTAACTCAAATTATATTGCAACTGGTTCAAGTGATCGAACAGTAAGGTTATGGGATTGTGTAACTGGTGAACAGGTACGATTGATGACTGGACATAAAGGAGAAATACTTACTTTATGTTTTTCTAATGAGGGTCGTGTTTTAGCTTCAGCTGGCAACGACTGTAATGTTCTTTTATGGGATATTGCCCATGGACACCTTTTAGCAATGTTAACGGGTCACAAAGAGCCTATTTATACAATAACATTTAGTAGAGACAGTACTATTTTATCTTCAGGATCTCATGACTGTAAAATAATGCTATGGGATTATTCAAAAATTTTAGAAGATCTATCATTAGATGATATGAATGTGCATAACCCAAATGTTATAAATGATAGTAATAAATATTTACTAAGAGCATTTGGTACAAAAAATTCTCCAGTAGTTCATTTATTTTTTTCTAGACGAAATATTATGTTTTGTGTTTGTGCATTCAATTCTCAACATAATCACCATTTACCATTAAATTCTTAGTTATTATATATATTTATTAAAAACATTAAAAAATCGACTTTATAGTATTGTTTTGTATGTTGTATTTTATACTTTATGTACTATAATAATTATTTAATAATGTTGGAATGAAATCACTTATGTAAATTATTAAATTTTTGTAATATATACAAAGTGTAGTGACAATGCCTAAAAATAATATGTATGCAGACTAAAATTGTCTTTAAATATTTCTTGCTTTTACTCGTTAGCCTTAACATAGTGTTATATACTAAGCTTACCATATTTATTTTTATTATTGAAAAAGTAAGGCTTCTATCACTACAATAGGTTATATAAAGTACATCACTATAAAATTGTATTGATTTTTATCTATTATTAAATTTATTTACTCATTTAAATAGTTTTAATGTATTATATAGTAAATTTAATCTCATAGTCCAAAATTAATTTTTTAGATCAATAATTATCTATTATTATAATAATAAATATGGTAAAGCCCTAAATAATTCAATTCTACAAATTTTTAAATAATATTTTGATTACAATAAAAAAGTAAACTTCATTATTTTAATTTACCAAATAATGATATCCATTATGTGATATAATAGAATTAAAAAAAAACATTTTTATAAGATTAATGTAATTAATATGTTAAATATTATATATTTAATTATATAATTATATTATGTAATTACTTATCAACAATACTGATAAAAGAAATTTTTTCATACTAATTGGATACATTTTATGAATATTCTTATTTTTCATAATAAAATTCATTAAATAATTAATTTCTAGATTCTTTTTGAAGATTTCTTCATTTTTGGAAAAGGGAGAAAGGAATTTGAAAAATACTGCATGAAATTTTTTTAATAATAATTAACTATAGAATTATTTTAGTCATTAATCAGTTTTAAATAGTAAAAATATATTCCATGTCTGGGAAGTCAGGTGAAATATACTGGTATTACAGACAAAATTATTAATTCTAATTTAGTTCATGTAATTTTATATAATTTTATGCATCTTATTAAAATATGCCAAGTGAACTACAAACTTGTTTCATAACATTATTAATAAATATGTGAAGTTTGATATTTATATTTCCAATATTTGATTTTTGTAGTTATTAGTACATATTATTTCCAATCAATTCAGAGAAATCTATTTTAGATGAAGGTAAAAAAAAAAATACTTGACAAATTTTTAAATAAATTTTGGGGAATATATTCACAAAATATTAGTATTTTTGCATTTTAGTTCTATTCCTTTATTATACTGAGTTCAATGGAATAAACGTTATCACACTATCATCACTACCATACATTAGTAAAATATGTGTATTCATTAATTTAAAATTTTTCTTAAAATCTAAATCTACATTTGAATAAAAATTGAAACATTTTAATGTATTTTAAATATGCACCATTTACTTTAACCAATGTAGAAAGATCATTTTCAATGTTAAAAATCGTATTGATCAAAATTCATCAATCTTTTAAGTTCAAAAAGATAAAAAATAACACTGATAGTACAGTATAATTTGTTATCAAATGTATGATGTTAAAGTTAGGATGGTTAAAAAATACTATTATTTTAGTAATTACAATCGACATTTATTTTCTAAAATAGGTAATTATATATTTTTTACACTTGCACCATACTATTATAATGAAATTATTACACATTATCATTAATAGCAATTTTTTTAATATGGTGTTTAAAACCAAAGAAGTAATATCCTTATAATAATATTTAAACAAAATTTGAAATAAAAATGGTCAGAAAAACAAATATTTAAAAAAAAATTCTAGGAACCTTAAGTTATATAGTAATTTAAGTAAAATTCTTACACCTTCATACTTCATAGTCTAATTCTATTATATTCTGGATATAAACATTTTTTTTCAGAGAAAACCTCATTTAATTTAACATAACAAAATACATACCTTAATTTAAAACACAACAGTAATTAAATAATTTGTAAATATAATAATAAACTATAAAGTAGAACTTTAAAACATAATAACTCCTAATTAATATTTATTTTATAAATATTATACTATAAAATATATTAATAATTGGTTTCATTTCCAGAGTTAATAATAAAATTATTTTATAACTTTCAATTTATTAAAACATGGTATTATTTGAAGAAATATAAAACAATCGATTGTGAAAATTGGCCATTGGTAGATATGCTTACATTTTTTCATTGGGTTAATCATCTATTACACCTTGTCTTCTATATACTTGTGTAATAACTTAAATACCCTTGAGTAAAATAAATATTTGTAATAAAAATAAAATTTAATTACTAAGAGCCACTTTTCTTGCCTTTGGTTTTAGATAATTAAAAAATTGAAATTAATAATATTTATCATGTTAACTATTTATATTTAGTTAGATAAAATTATATAATTTAATCAAATTTTAACTCAAATAAAAATGTATTTTTAAAAGTATGAAATAAGCAAATAGTTAAAATATATGTTACATTTATTATTTTATAGTACAATATAATGAATAATTTTTTAGTTTTTTTTTTTTAACATTGCATTTATTACAATAATCAACAATTAAGTACTTACGACAAAAAAATTGAAAAAAGTTCAAGTTAACTTCTAATTTAAAATTTACAGTATCAATGTTCAAATGAATATTATTAATACATGATGCTATCAGTTCTTACATATTTTGTGAGATGTACAGAAAATTATTACTTAATTTTTACACTTAAAATATTCTTATTTTCTTAAGATGTTATTTTTAATACATACATATTAAATGAAAATTTAACTATTCATTTACATTAATAATAATTATTCACAATTTATGAAGTTAATTATATTATAAATATGCTAAAATGTTTATAGTTTATAATAAAAATAGTATTCATTTATAATATTCTAAATATAAAAAGCAAACAATAAATACAAATTTTATAAAACTATAAAATAATAATAGATAATATTATAATTTTTTTATATATAATCAAATAAATTAATTTGAACAAATAAATTTCATAAATGGAGGAATTGTTGTATTTGTAAGTCATTAAATAGTTTTAAATCATGTACCTACTTGCATGTCATGTGATGATTCAAGGACTTCCATTAAAAATGTATCAAGAGGTGAATCCCCAATAAGTTTATAGAAAAAAAGATGTTCAAGGCATTTGAGACCAATAGAACGCAATGAAGGTAAACGCAATAGCAGTTTGGCAAATCGACCAGGTTCTTCTGGATGTGTTGTTCGACAATATTCTTCCAAGGCAACATATGTTTTATCTCTAAGTATTTCAACTTCATTTACTGATTGTAATCCTTTAGAGCCTACAATTAAAAAATTATAATTAATTAACACTGGAAAATTTACTCTTCTATTTATTTATTAATAAAGCTATAATAAAATACCTGGATTAAACAAAATTATTGTTCTTAGACAACCAAGTTCAGTTCTATCCATACCCATATCCCTCATTTTAGCAACTAATTCAGTTAGAACACGATCAAATATAGCTTCAACACCAGCTTGATGTGCAGAGTCTCGGTAAACAGTTAATCCAGTAGCTAAAACTATTCCATCTTTTACACTTATAGATCTGTGTGAAAATGCGGCAATCATCAATTCATTCCAACCTACAAAACATCACAATATTTAATTAATCTTCAATAGTACATACATGTATTTCTAAATTAAACATATATAATAACACAGACTATGTGTACTAATTTGGTCTAAATAAAATAAGTTTGAGAAATCTGATTTAACTCTAATATACTAATCATTATACAATTAGCTATAGAATATTATATAAATAATATCCTATAATTTATATTTTGTTTATACATTATAAATAAGATTGTGACTGTTTGCTTGAATGACAGAGGTAAGATACATATTTAATATTTTAATAAAAGAAGTAATGAAATATATTTTTAAATATTTTCAAGTAGAAGAACTTCTATCTTATTCTTTATAATATGATTTCATAGATGTTTTTATCTAAAGATGATAAATTATTTAATATTTCTAAGAAAACTCATTTAAAAAAAATGATCTCTGTAAGTAATAAAAAATTAATTAAGCCATTTTTATTTTTATATATTATTATAGAATGAATCATTAGTTAACTTAATACTTACTTTTTTTATATAAAATTATCAATAATTTATGTAATTGAATACTACAATATGAATTTGTACATAGTTTTTCATTTTAAACAACATAGTATAAAATACTATAAAAAAATATATTAACGTTTTGTAATAAAAATTTACTGACCAGCTCTCAACAACAAAACTTGATCACCTAATGGCAAACTTTTGAAATGTGGTATATGCTTTGCCCACTCAACAAGTTGTATAAGTTGTTTATCAGTAGCCTGACAAATGGCACCAACTGGATGTTGAGGATGCTAAAATTTGATAAAATAATATGTTATTTTGTCTTTATCAATGTTATTTGTAAAATATACAACTCACTTGCTGTTCGATATGTTGTTGCTCAGTCTTAATTGCATCTGCTTTATTTTCAGCTTTTAAAATTAGTTCAACAGGCATATCTGTATTAGAGCTGCTGGTGGGTTCAATTTCCATATGATCTCTTTCTTTTGTTCGCTGTCTCTCCTCCTAATCAGTAGAAATTTAAATGCTTACCTACGTTAAGCAATCCTATACAATAAATTAAAATACCTGGACTGCTTCTCTTTTCATACCCATTGTCAAACATTTTTGGTATCTGCAGTACTGACATCTATTTCTTTGACGTTTGTCAATAATGCATTTATTTTCTTCTCGACAAGCATATGATAAATTCTTTCTAACTGTTCTTTTAAAAAATCCTTTGCAGCCTTCACAACTATCAAAATATATAAAATAGCACAGTAAAATTAATATACTTTAAATTAAAATTAAAAGAAAAATTTTTTTAAGAAAAACAAACAACTTCATTATGAAATTTTTAAAAATAAAAAATTGAATAATCTTATAATACACTTAAAATTTAATAAAATTAAAATAGAGAACACAATTTTTTATGACTCCAATTATTTAATCAGAAAATTGCATGAATTTTATTTTAAATAGTATACAGAGTGTTAGATTAACTATTCCTCAAGCAATATATATAAAATATTTTTTTTTTTTAGAAGTTAATAGTATCCTATTCTTAAAAATTTCAAAAAAGAATAGTCCTACCCTTCTTATCTCTAAAATAATATCTACATTTTTAAATGAAAACATACATATTTAATTAGATTAAAAAATAGAAAATGATCTCATTAGGAAAATGACTGGTCAACTCTTAAAGAATATTTTAAAAGATATTAGCATTTTTATACTAGGGCAGGAGGAATAAAAGAGGGGCATGTTTATTTTTATCTCTTAACATTTATATATAGCTCTCATTTTATACTTGTAAAGATATTGTGTGAGGCATAGTTATTTAATTATCCTATATTACAAAAATATATATGATTGATTAAATTAATATTTTAATTACATTTATATTCATAAAGTTTTTAATGAATAAAATTTTAATTTATATTATATCATTAAATATAAGATGTATTATTATGATTATAAAAATGATTAAAATGTATAATATAGCTAATAGTTGATCAATACAAATATCATACCTATAAACACCATAATGTTTACCACTTGCACGATCACCACATATTGAACATAAATGTTTTGATCCACTTAATGGATGATTAGGCGGATAGTTAGGTGAATCTTGACTATTACATGAGTTACTATTCATCATGTTATTTCTATCTAAGCCATAGAGTCTGAAGAAAATTAATTAAAAACAATATCTTTTATTAAAAGCTCAAATTTTGTAGATTAATAATCATAAATTCCTATTAATAACTTATACTACAAAAAAAAAAAAAAATATGGAAAGTAATAATACCAGGGTGAAGATTATAAAATTTCATAACCTAATATATTTTATATTAATGTCATTATTATTATATAATATTAATTTTATTACTATAATACGCTATAAGGAACAGTAGGAAATGCCTAGAAATCTATGATTAAAAGGGCATTACAAGCATAAAAAAAAAAGTTTTTTTATAAAAGAAAATTATAAAAAGTCCACATAAAATTATTTATCATGGGCCTAACAAAATTTAACGTCAGCACTGACATCTTTTTGTCAATTTTCAACCCCTTTGAGGCACGTGAAAGGGTTGACCTAGGATGCTCAAAATTCACTAATATTTTCTGTATGCTGTATAGAACAAAATTCCGATCACTTGGCATAAAATTTGCTTAAAAAAAAAATCACCTTATTTAGTATAAATAAGGACCACTCTACATTGTACGTGTTAAAATATAAAACTAATTTTGCTTTAAACAATATGTGAACTTATGTGTTTTTTTTTTCAGAATTCTTCATGCAAATATTTTCCTTTGAAATAAATTCCTAACCATATACAAATTTCTAAAGTGGTTAAATATTTAATAATATTCATGCAGGCGTAAACTTTATGACCATATATTTTTTTTGTTTACTCAATTACAACATACATTACATTCATGTGGGTTATATTTATGAAATATTACATTTATCAATTTAATTCTTAAAAAGGTAAAATTTTAGTTCTATAGAAAATTTGGCTAATTTTTTTTTTTTTATAATTTATACATGTGATACTCAGGAATTTTGAATTATTTAAATAACGATTTTTAATAAGCTATTACGATTTCCAAATTAATTTAAATAAACATAAGTCATTTTAATTATTTTATGAAATTCTAGATCTTTTGTATCGTCTTATTTTGTTACTGTTTTTTTTTTTTTTTTTTATATTACATTTTATGAAAATCCTTTATTAAACTCTTTAACTATTAGCAGTAAAAATCCTAAATCAATTAATTTTAGATAATTATAACTTATAAAATATAGTTAAAAATTAAAATCAATCTTGTAACATAAACGGTATACACCCAAAGAAAAAACTCAATCAATTTTGATAGAGAAATTTTATCAAGGGTTTATGATAATGTTTTATTAATACGAACAAAATAATTATTCTTATAAATAATTATTGTTCAAGACAAGAAAAAAAATTATCATATTGATAAATATATCACAGATTCAATAGTAATGATATATTTATCAAATTGAACAATGAATTTATTATATAGATCGAGGTTTTTCTCTGGGTGTATAAAAATACATACGTAAGTTCGTACATAGGCGAATTACAATCATAATATTAAGAGGTTAAAAATTATAAAAGAAAACGTATTTTAAAAGTAAGACTTCAATATATAAATTAAATTCAGTGCTAAGTAATTAATATTTATAAATTTTAAGCCTTTAAAAATATATTTTCAATATAATTTTTAATAACACTAAAGAAACATAAATTACGAATTTTTTTAAAATTTCATTTAATTTTAAATTATTTAAAATAACCCGTATTTATGTAGAATACTTTTGAAAAATAATCTTTAATTAATCTTAAAAAATAATCTTAATGAATTCACATTTTCATTAAAAAATAAATAATTACACATATACAAAAGAAACATTAGATTTTTAAGAAAAAAAATCTCAAATTTGTTACCTGCTACTAGAATACATAGTATAATAATTAGAGAACATTTTTTTTGAATAAATTTAAATACCAAATTCGAGTCCTCAAAAAATAAAATTTAATTTAATTGATTTATAAAATATTAAAAGATAAAATAATTATGAATGTAGTATAACGTAAGCGAAATGAATAATGAATACTAAAAAACGAATTTATTAGTCGACGTTACAATGTTTACACTTTTATGAAACACACATTATTGTAATATTGGCCTATTTCCGATGTTTATAATAAGAAACGCCAGAAGACAAAATATGAAAAACAGACGAATTAAAATTAAACAAATAAAGCTACTTGGAAAGTAATATATCATTTTATTTTTGTAGTTTAAATCTTCAACTTATAATTTGCTGTTCTATTCCATTTAACATTAATTTATAATTTTAACTTACNTTCTATTCCATTTAATATTAATTTTAACTATATAATTTTAACTTACCCAGGACTTAAAGGATCTCCTGGAGGACTGTAATTAGCCATCAAAGTGGCCGTATCCGGCTTCAAATCTAACGGCGATTGGGGACCCATTGAACTCAAAGATACATTATTGTCCAATCTTAAACCTGAAAATTTAAATCTATTAGTTATTGTATAAATACTATTATTACAATCACAATAAAAATCATTTGAAATTATATAACCTAATTTAGTTTATTTTATTGTGATTTATATTTTGCATCAATAATATTTTTAGTACCTATTAATTTTTAATTTGCTAAATTTTTATGTAAAATCATTTTTTTTTTATTTCGTCTTTATTTGGTGGTCAAGTATATCTTATTGTTTAACTTTATTTTGTTTAAAAGCATTGAAAAAAAAAAAAAGTAATTAACGCAAATGCGGATTTAGAAAAGTTTACGGAAGGAGTTCATTACGTGTATATATAGGAATAAACTTTTAAGTGTATAGCAACTGAAATAAAATATATACTAGAAGTAAAAAAGAACGGTCGTTTTCAATACCCCAAATTTATTTATTCTGAAACTAAAACCTTAACAATTTTTTTAATACAAATTAGTGAAAAGTATTTTTTTGTTAAAAAAAACCCACACGCAACAAATAATTATAAAACTGAATTTGGCACGTGGCAAGTATTAGAACACCTTATCCTTAAAAATACCAGCTATTGCTAATAATATGCAATATTAAAATTTTTGATGATACCCTCATCCACACACTAAATGACATTGCCCTTGATAGTGTTCTAAAGTTTTGTTATCGACTTAATTTTAGCATATTTGTCAAATAATTATATAAACATACAAAAAAGAAATTGTATATCAATCATTAATGAGTGTATGATATTTTTAAGTAAAAATTATTCCACTACATGGAACCTACATAATTGACTTATCGCGTTGAATTTTGATTCGTTTCAACTCGATTGTTTTTTTGTAGGCATGTTAAACTGAGTACTATAACACCGCCGCTTTTGGCATTATGCTGATATAATAATATACATATACCTACAAACGGAAAAACTCAGCCTTCACCTCTACTACACATACGTTAAAATACGCATGCACAACATAATATAATAATGCAATGAGACCTTGAGAGAACATCCATTTACTGTACAATGGTATCATCATCTTTTACGCCCTTGATTCGTTGTTCAACAATAGGCGTTAAAAAGTCAGGATGGAAAAACTATTGGAAAAAAGTAGTAATTATTTCACTATTGGTCAAAAATCGATGGTCATGTGAGAAAGTTTAAACGTGACACAATTAATTTTTAACATTGCATATCAAAAGAAACACGATAAAAATATTAGTCCTAATAAAAGTAAATGCGTAAAGATGCTTTAATCAAAAGGATCTTTACGCAATAACATTAGGATGCAATACTAAATGGTAGTTATGGTAAAAATAAGACATTCATAGTTATAACATTTATATTCCATAATCAATAAAAACTCAAAACACTACATCAGTATATAAGTTTAATACAACTGAAGCCAAGTTATTATTAGCTTTTGAAAAGTAATACAATGTATAAACATTTTTAATTGTAAAAATTGAATTGTTCAAAAAAATTCGATTGTGAAATAGAGAACATATTGATAAAAAATATAAATATACAGCCAGCATGGCCTTGAGGCAGCTGCTCCAATAGGATAAATTCTAATAATGGAACGAAACGAACTTGCAGGGAACGGTGGGAGTCACATCACACATTGTAATATCATAACAGTAATACCATTGTATTTCTACTATGTGCAAATTTGTTTGATTTACGATTTAAAAATGATCAACAATGTGCCACAAACAGACGAAAATACGGCCCGTACCGACAAGGCTATGACCTGACATAATATTTTGGACCCTTTTCGGATAATATGCGTGAAAGTTGACTAGGTTGGGTTCCACGGGAATTACAATTGTTAAACTTAAACAATTATAATGTAATGATTTTATTTAAGCTAAAATAATAATAATAATAAACAAAATCCTAAATATTAAGAGATAAAGTTTATAAGGTTATCTTACTTCCGATGCTTAAATATTTAATAAGAATACAGTATATCTACTTTAAAGTTGTGAAGGGAAAGCCGAATCCAAATTAGTGGACAAACAAACTTTGTGTAAGTAGCTGATACGAATAAAAGTTTTTCTAAAAAAATTCCTTTTTTTAAATTAGCTTTCACCAACTAATAAGAACGCCAATTTTGTTATACTATTATACCATATTATTGTTTAAGCATCACTTTCTAGATTATTTCTTTACATATCAATCAATATTAATAATTTGATAACCAAATAATTATATTTGTGATCATATTATTTTCAATATGAATGTACTTAGTAAATTAAATCATACAAGAGCACTTACCCTTAAATCTATTATGACTTATGTCATAGTAAAATTGGGCGATCGGTGCCACTGGCGAGACGATCAAAAGTCTTATCACTCGCGTGCATTATTTATGATAAAGTCTTGATCGGATCAGCATAAATTAAGAAATTATTAAAATAATGATATACAACATTTTTTTAATAATCATTATATATATATATATATATATATGTAAATCAGATAAATCAAACTTAGAAAAGCAATATAGATAAACATAAACAAGATAGATGATCAAATACGTGGGCGACAGTTATTACTATTCGTAATACTTTTGATTTTTGTGCCACTCAGATTTAAATTTACCAATTATAATTAATTAATTAACCTAAGGGACAATTCGGTATTAAAAAAAAACTGAATAGTAAATCAGATTTTGTTTTTAGGTTTATTATCCTCGAGTAAAAGATAGAAGTAAAGCATATTTTCAAATGAAGTACAATTTAGTCATCGGATTTTTTTCATAAAAATTATTTGAATAAGCATCCGTAATTGAAACGATAATAATTTTCACAGAAAAAGTTATAAACCTATAATCCCAAAAATAAGCGCGAAAAGAAAGTTTCATTCTGTCCTTTTTTTAAATACATATTTCAATGTTTAACACCATAAAATAAACACGAAAATTCAAATTTCTTGATGATTACTGTATGCTTATTAACAAATTATAAATAGAAAATCTGTCAAAAATCGCCAACTTTAACAAACAAAACCAGAAAACGGTTCGTTGAATATAAAATATTATAAAAATAAAGTCGTTTGTAATTTTCGAATAAGAACAAAATAAAACGTTTGCTTTTAAATTGTTTTATTGAAAAAAATAACATTAAGTTTAAAAATTCTTATATTTTAATTGATATTTAATAGACGGTTAAGAATGAAGAGTCGTTAAAATAGTACAAATGTAAACTATAGACAATAAAGAATATTTCGATGTGATTAAAAAAGTATTCCTAAAATTTACCACAAAAAAAAAATATTAGTTGAAATGGTATTTGATAAGAATGTGAATTATCAGGTACTCTACTATTCGGGATTGATGTAATGCAAAATGATAAAAATACGGAAAATACAATACAAGAAAATACTAAGTACTAAAATATTCACCCAGAACAGAAGTCAATGTGACGATTTTAAAATAAGTATAAAATTTAAAATTTAAAATTTATGTAATTAATATTCAGTTAGTAGTTTAAACATTTAAGATTTCGCAGTAGATTTTTAAAAATACATATGTTTATTTAAAAATATATAAATATAGATAATATATTTTAAAATATAGTAATGTTATTTGAAATCGATTTCAATTAAACCACCGATGATCGCTCTATAATTGTAAACGACCTCACACTGCTTGTAGCAGCTTCGCCCCTTAGGCTAATTTTATACATAAGTTCTAAAGTTGAATTTTCATGGTTATAGTCAAGACATTTGTTATAGATTGATGACATAATCTCATATACTCCAAGTATGATATTCATAAGTATACATAAACGCTAACCTATACTCTCTCTCAGCATTCTCATCTCTGCTACACTCATTCTCTATTCAATTTTCTGCCTAACACTCTGAATCATACATCATTGCTGGATTTACTACAGTTTTATAGAACTTACCTTTCAGCCTCATTGTAATTCTCTTATCGCATAACAGACTAGACGCTTCTCACCACTTCACCCACCCGCACGAAGACAGTATCAAAATTTAAATTTTTAATGAAAATTAATGCAAAACAGTCTTTTTAATTTTCAAATATTATACCATAAAAGAAACAAGTCGAGAAAAAAATATTAACAGTATATAAAATGCATAATGGGAAGAGGAGCACGAATAATATTTTTCTTTTGACAAGCTATGGTGAAAATGTTTTAATTTATTTTGAGCTGATTATGAGCAAAAAAAAAAAAATAAAAAATAGATTAACAAATATTTTTATATCAGAATTGCACGGTTATGGAAATGAGCTCGTTCTCCTGTACGCCCTCTCAATTCGCCACAGATTCTAATAAATAATTTCATATGTAAGAAAAATCAATTTTAGTAAACGTCAATAATAATAAAACAAAGACGTTGCTAAAATAATACACGCGTGACATTGTATATTTAGCATGTTATAATAACCCAACCCGTAGTTTCCCACTGACGGGCCTCCCGTCACCACTATACACGCTGTTGTGACGTGCATGTCCACCGAGATCGTAGTTGACCTTCAGGTGCGAAATAGGAAGCTCGAAGGCAGAGGAGGTCCTACTGGGGCGATGGCGGCCTTGAAGACGGCACACACACACACACACACACCACAAACTACCGTCTGAACTGCGGCTGCTTACTAAGCTGACGAACTACGTCAACCGTGTCCGTCATCAAACGTTCACACTGCTACCACCACTAGCCCAATCTTTTAAGCCTAATGGTTGGATTATTAAACTTCCAAGAAGTTTTTAAAAACTAATTTATATCTATTTTTTATGATGACACAATTTAACAATAAATTTAAGTAATAGACATGTATCTCAAAGTTATTCAAAATATAAAAAAAGACATTAGGTATCAAATAAATGTAAACAAACGTTTGAGATATAATTCCGAATTCAATACACTCACAAAAGCCTATTTTTTATTTTCATAAAAATTGCTTATTCTTCGATAAAATGTGATTTATTGTTCATAACTGAAAACTTAGATGCAACTAAAATGACAGTAATATAAACAAAAAATCTTGAACAAATTATTTTAATATGTTGTTTACATGTTGAATAACTCATAAATACATACTAAATCAATGAATTATACAATAAGTATGATTTAAAATTCAATTCCATTAGTCTCCTACACTCTAAATTGGTATGAGAAGTCCACGTGAGTTGATCAACATGTGTAACCGCCTATGGTATTTTTAGACATTGTACTTAAACATAAATAAATACAGCAAAAATTTTGGTGTTATTTATTATTAAACAGTAAATACTTTTTTCTTTCGATAAAATGTCTTAATTTTTAATAAACTTAGAAAATTTCATTACATTAAAAATTTACTTTACGCAAATTACACAATGGGTAAAAAATGAAAATAAAAATATTGCTTATTATACTTATAATAGAAATCATATAATAAATTTTTCATATTTATTAGTTCACAGAAAAAATTAAAGAGATTCTACTAATAATTTATACTAATCGTATTTTAAAAAATCGTGAGAAAATTATTTTAAGAAAAAATATATTAAACATAGCTCTTACGAATCCAAAAACGCTGTTTATATCTTAATCGTTTAAATGCTTATGATCTTTTATTTATAAATACTACCTAATCCAATTCTCAAATTTATCTAATTTATAAGAAAAAGGTATACAGCCTGTCTACCAATGAAACA